TCTTTCAAATCTTCAAACTCATCAGATTCTCCCCCTCCCTCCCAAAAATTCCTCTCCCAACTTTGTATTACCTCCCAACTACATTTTAATCCCCCACCATCATCCAAAGAACTCCCTCTTCTCCATCCTTTACTTTTTTTTCCTCATCCACCTCCCTCCATCCACCCTTCAAAAACCCCCAAAACCTTCCAACTCCCAACTTCCATCTTACAAAACCAAAGATAATCCCAATCCCAATCCCAATCCCAATCCCAATCCCAATCCCAATCCCAATCCCAATCCCAATCCCCTATTTTAAACAACACCCCCTATATCGGATCTACACTATACCATACCGTACTATACCTAGTATCAATATCTAATATTTAACATCTAACATCTAACATCTATAAAACTCAACAACAAAAGGATATGAAATATGTAGGATTACTAGATAGAATAACACAACATATCATATTGGGTAGCAGATTAGTCCCTGCACTGTAAGGCTGCACTTGGGGCGTTTGGGAAGTGCAGAGCGAGAAAGGAAAGTTATATGGAATAAGTAGATGGCTGCTTTCAATCTACTACTACATGAATAGATCTATCTACAGATAGTCCAACCATCTAGTGGCAAATACACAATATCACATCACACATATAAAATCACATTTCCTTGATACTATAATAAACTCAATTATAAATCAGTGTACTACCTTTTAATTTGATTCTCTAGAGAAGAAAATTTCTCGCGCTATGAATGAAGAACAAAAAAGGTGCAGCTCAAAAACACATGAAGAAGTTGGCACCACTAAAAAGTAAGAAAAAAAGCTTTGTATGATTGATACGACATTTTGAATTCCCCCCTTCCGAGCAAACAATCAGCTAGATCAAAGCCCATCCACTACTTCGGAAGAGATCACCCAGTCGCTCAACCGCTACCAGAACTTTTCGGGATAACACTTCGCAGTGAGACAAAACACTGGGGGTTGATGTTTTGTTCGAATCTTCTTTTTTATCATATTCGCCAAATTCGTGATGTAAACACAAATCGACTGCGATACGCTATGACGATAAATTAGCTTCATTCCTCACAACAGGAATTATGTAGAATTACATACCTTAGAAACACTTGCGGTGGACAATGGAAGGTCCGGACTCGTCGTACTCTTGCTTTGAGATCCACATCTGTTGGAAAGTGGACAAAGATGCCAAAATAGAACCACCGATCCAGACGGAGTATTTTCTCTCGGGTGGTGCAATGATCTTGACCTTCATCGATGATGGTGCAAGAGCAGTAATTTCCTTTTGCATACGATCGGAGATACCTGGGTACATGGTAGTTCCACCAGACTGTGATAAAAAGTTAGTATATTATCCTAAAATCTTCGCAGATGGAAAATCTTACCATAACAATGTTACCATACAAATCCTTACGAACATCAACATCACACTTCATGATGGAGTTGAAGGTAGTGACGTGGATACCACCGCTCTCAAGACCCAAGACAGATGGTTGGAACAAAGCTTCTGGAGCACGGAAACGTTCGTTACCAATGGTAATAACTTGTCCATCAGGAAGTTCGTATGACTTCTCCAAGCTGGAAGATTGACTGGCGGTTTGAATTTCTTGCTCAAAGTCAAGAGCGACGTAACAGAGCTTCTCCTTAATATCACGGACAATTTCACGTTCGGCAGTGGTGGAGAAAGTGTAACCACGCTCAGCCAAGATCTTCATGAGGTAATCAGTCAAATCACGACCAGCCATGTCAACACGAGCAATGGCGTGAGGAAGTGAGAAACCTTCGTAAATTGGGACAACGTGAGTAACTCCATCACCGGAATCGAGAACGATACCGGTGGTACGACCGGAAGCGTAAAGGGAGAGGACGGCTTGGATAGAGACGTAGAACGCTGGGGCGTTAAAGGTCTCAAAGACAATTTGGGTCATCTTTTCTCTGTTGGACTTTGGGTTGATTGGGGCCTCAGTAAGTAAAACTGGGTGCTCCTCTGGTGCTACACGAAGTTCGTTGTAGAAAGTGTGATGCCAGATCTTCTCCATATCATCCCAGTTGGTGACGACACCGTGCTCGATTGGGTATCTGAGTGTAAGAATACCACGCTTGGATTGCGCTTCATCTCCAACATATGAGTCCTTTTGACCCATACCAATCATAATACTATAACATCCTTTATCAGCCCTTGTTCGAGTGACACGAGTTGTGGGGGAAATGGCGGGGTGTTATATGGATGGATTTCTTACCCATGATGACGGGGACGACCGACAATGGAAGCTATTTTGCATGTTAGAGATGGTTCAAGCTCATTATGGTTATTGTCGATGACTGATTTTGATGGAAATCAAGGATGTAGCTGTTGCCTGCAAGAATAGTCTACTTACGGAAAACAGCTCTTGGAGCGTCATCACCGGCGAAACCGGCCTTACACATTCCAGAACTACAAAATCCATCAGTCTGGTTCTTTTCAAATATGCAATCTTCGCCTTTGTAGAGATAAAGGTTGATATTGGTCGGCTTGTAATTCCTTCCAATAGCTACCCCTCGATCTTTCAGGCTCACGACCACTTTGTTGGATTTTAGGATTCTAGGAGCTTACCCATTGTCAATGACGAGGGCTGCGACTTCTTCTGTTGATTGATAAATGATATTAGTAGACGCTCATCATTATGTAGATATCTGCGCAAAGGATATAAATCCAATGCAGGTGTCGGGTTGAAGCTTACCTTCCATGGTTGATAATTAAGACGTTTAGTCAAATAAAAGAGGTGTGGAATATGGCGGTGAGTTAATTCTCGTGATAATTAAAATCTCGAGAATGATGAAGGACTGTATTAAAGTAAGATTTCACGACGTTGATAATTCGTGGTTGATAAAAAAGAAGATGGTTGAAAGAGAAGAAGGTGTGTTGTTGTTTTGTCAAAAGAATTGGTGATCGTGGTCGTAGTAAATGGGAAAGGACGATGTCACGAAGTTTGAGTGTGGGCCGCAACTGCAGGAGGCGAAGCGATCTTATTCGGTATATTCGCCGCTTTTAGATAGAATGTTGAAGAAAGATTTGATAGGTAGAAAAGGAGGCCGGGGGGTGGTAGGAGGGAAGAAGATATTCCGAGTGCGTGAGTGCTTATATAGGAAGTGAATTACGAGTATGCTTTATAAAGATAGATATGGACGGATATATGGATATGGTGATTTTGGTAAATGAATCGACTAAAATTGGTATAATGACTTCAAAATGATTCAAAAACTACTAACTACAGAGACAATAAGATTAGTTTGTTTATCAATCGAGCAAGAGGGGATTCCGAATACGTAGATAGAAGAAGGATGTACGTACAGTAAGTGAAGTTTGGGTTGAAAAGATATGGCGACGAATTAGACAGATACTAGGTATTCTCCTAATCATAAGATTACAATGACTTCAAATGTTGACTTCGACAGAGAACAACTATATTTATTATATTATATCAAAGATTAAAAGCAGCATGTAACTATTCGGATTATTTGTTCCCTACTACAAGAAGGAAGAAGTAACAAGTATGAAAAAACCAGGTGGCTGTGAATTTCAAGAAGTCGGTGTCGGTATCGTCTTTTGGTTCATCCATCTACATCTACCTACCTATAGCTAATAGTCCGGGACCGTCCTGTATTCCGGATCATGAATCCTATATTTGTGGTCTCTGGTTCGTTGTCTAAAGGCAAGATTTCAATCAAACATACGGAGTAGTTAGCTTCTTCCCCCTTTCCCCTTTTCCCTTTCAACCCATGTTAGCAGGGTCATTCCAAGATCACACCGACTCTACCAAACAAAACATTCCGAAAATGTATCTTTTAATTCCTTTCTTGTAACTTTTGAGGCTACGAATTTATATAAGGTTATATGAAGACAGCTACGTCTTCCTATTAGGTCTTTCATGTACGAGGTATCATTTTATACTTGTGTACCGCCATCAGACGCGCGTTAGAATCTCAGTCAGACGTAATGTCTCTTCTATAATTGGTCGATAGCTTCCATTTCTCACTATCCCATGAGTCTAATATCCAATATCCAATCGCCAAGCAGGCATCTCATGGAATATCTTTAAAATCAAGCCTTTTCATACGTATGTCTGCTATATTTACACAGGAAGGTATCTGTGAAAGTGGTGGAAGACTGCATCATACCCTATATCCGGGCGAGAATTTTACGCAGTACATATCTACACATCTATCCATCCACCTATTCTCGATATCCAGCAACCCAACTCATCCTTTCGTAATCGCATGCAAAATCACTACCAGGAACAGAAGTCCGAAGCTATGAGACTACGAGACAACACAAACCCCCTAAAGTAAAAACGGCAAGAGCCAACTTCCCATTGGTGTCGAACCAAGAAATTACATCGCTGGTCCGAGAGCCACTGACGGACGGTTGGAAACACTTGTTCAGTACGGTGAGTGAGACGGCACAATAATGCAAAAATTGAGGGGCTTAGTGGGGTAATATTTTAGATGATTAAGGTTATCGACCACTCGTTTACTTCTATGCATGAATTTGTTTTATATTGGGTATTTGACGTGTATCGTTTATAAGCTTTAAGAATCATGGTAAAAAGATGCTTGACATGTTCCATTGTAGCTTGTGACTTTGATGCATTCTCTAAAAATCCTCAGTGAGGTGGCAATCAGAGCCAGAGGGTCCTTGTAAGAGCCTCATTGACTAGATGACCAGGATATCAATGTCTCCTCCATCTATCATTCCCAATGACAATCTACCAAAACTCCAAAACTCCAACCCGAGCATTTCGTAAGAAGTAGGAAGTATCAGCTATCCTATAGTTCACAGCTGTCAACCATTCAATCCTACCTATTCCCCTTTCCTACATCCCATCCTCATATCCCATTCGCGGCCTCCTCTCTCAACCCCTCGATCAAAACATCACAAGCGTCCATATCTGCCGCATCAATCTTCTCACCACTTTTCCCCAACTTGCCCAACTCCTCAGTCGCAGCATCCATCCCATCTTGAAAATTCCTCACAGCACTACTCAATGCGTAAACCGCCTTCCTCCTAACATCCTTCGCCTCCTTCTCATTCAAACACATCTTAACCAAATGTGGTACTCCCCCTTGATTCAGCATACACCTCTGACTCTTCTCATTATTCTGCACCGCAGTCCCCACACACCAAGCTGCCATCTTCCTAATCTCCTTCTCCTCATGTGCCAACAATTCTAACAAAGGTTGCCATAATGAAAGCGCCTCGATATTATTGGCATTATCAAGGTTTTCAATGAGTTGCTCAAAGTTATCGAATGCGATGACTTTATCCTCGACAGTTACTTCGGGGTCGGTAGATTGAATGGCCCATATGGAAGCTTTCATGAGGTCTGCGTCACTGGGACCCCCGAAGAGCACATTCATGGCATCGGCTGGAAGGGCTTTGGTTTGTGGGGGAGGTGCGGTAGGATCGGCGGCGGTTGCAGAGGAGTTCTCTACGCTCCATTTAAGGAGTTCGTTCATTGATGGTGGCATAGCCATAGTGGTAGATTTTTCTTTAAATTATTTCTTGAGGCTGAAGCTGTATGAAATTTTGTGCTCGGAAATTTGAGAATCGAGCGGGCGAAGTTAAGTTGCTTTCCGTCGAAATTTATATTTTGGTGGATGAGAAAATATTTAATGTATGGAAAGAAATTCAAAAATTGTACTTTAGTTTAAATATACTCAAAAGATTTTCCTTATTTTTGAATAGATGATGGATGGATGGTTGGATGACTACTGAGTATTTGAAATTTGTCTATTCTTGTCTACCAACTTCGAGATGCTTCCAGCCAGTCAAGGCTTTTTGGGCATGCGGCAGAATTTTGATAGCCAATGATCGAACAGTATCTGTGATTAATAATCTCAGCCTTCCTGCCGACTTTGTGTGTAATCGTAGCCTTGCAGAAGAAAAAGGCTGCGTAACAATTGTATATATTCTCATGACAGGCTTTGCCGATTTTGTATATTTTTGGGGACGGTACTGTGGAATCTCCTGTCTTGCCTTGATCTTCCATTAACATAATAAATATACCTATAAATTTATCGTTCTCTGTCTACAGAATTGCTGATTCGTACTGCTCTTCGCGTGCTCATATCCTACACATCACAACTCGTCAAAATCTCATACATCGTGTATTTGGACGCAAAGTGCTCAGAGAATACAAGTGTATTGTTTATAGCTGAAAAGTACTTGTCTAAAGGGATAATACCGAGGTTGTTTTTGCGAGTATGCATTTGGTTCTCCTGTCTGTGGAAGAAGAGCGAGGATGTTGAGCAAACATTGTAGTCGACACAATGGAATTCGTATCTTCGTATCTTACTCAGACTCGACCCCTCTTCCTGTCATATTCGCTGCCACCGAACTTCTATCGTTCAATTCCATTGATATTGCTTCGATGTTGAATTTTGTTAACTTGTTGGTGGGTGGCGCAAATAGCACATCAGGTTTTGAAGCTCTTGCTCTGGTATGTTTGTATTGTACAGAACGGAGCGTGTGGATTGAGCAGAGTAGGTGGTTTATTTTACACTTTTGGAGTGTCCATGTTTTTTCCTTTACTCATTTTACTGTCTTCTCGAAAACTTTCATCATGTATGTGCAGTGGACTCGTACTTAAATACAACTCTATAGGTGGAACCTTTTTTCGGCGATCACTCAGTTATTTTGGAACAAGTCTTTCGCCATGTGTTGGTTTCAGCTCTGAATGCCAGCGCGTCAAGACATTGTACAGCCCGATAGCTCGTCACTTTGTGCCTGCTTTCTCCAGATCCTTAGATTGGCAATTATCTGCCGAATATCCTCCCGTGGTGAAATGCTCCGAATGGAAACCTGTGGAACCTATTTGCCTCGGGAAAGTAGAGTTGGCGCCAGCAAATTTCGGCCATGGACTTTAACCACACATACCTCATTCCCGATTTCTGCCCGTTTCCAGTAATAGCGAATCAACCATCAAGGCGGAAGAGCTTCATGACCGATGATTTTGCTCCCATTGAATTTAGCAGAAGCTAGAGGAATTCTTAAGGAGTTGTAGATCGATGGGCACGTATTAGTATGGAAGCTACAAAACGATTAGTCTGGCTCGGCTACCGATCCATGCAACCAGAGACCCACGATCGACCTTGTTGACCGCCGTGGATTCTAGGAACCGGATTTCAACTTGCAATGGTTCCATCGACTCTTAAAAGGTTTCACGCCCTCTGGAACTTCTTGTTAAAAGAACACATAGCCGCTTTGATCCACAGCAACACCGCTAGAACATATTTATGGCATTTTAATGCAGGAATGGAATGCCAATTGCCAGAAATTACAGCCGCTACCTAACCCAAACATGCCTCCCTGAGCCAGTATGAGGTGCCAACACTCAGAGCTTATACTGGTTGGCGTCAGTCCTAACACGCAAAAAAGCATCCAGTCCAAACAAGAGATCTCAAATAACCATGATCAAACGCCGGACCGGCAACGATGGCGAATCCGAATAACAAAAATGCTTGAATAGACCCGATCCAAGAGACCTGGGAGGGAGACCATGAAGGATGCGTATTCCTCATAGTAAGATTGAAAAGCACCTGTAGGATCAGATCAGCAAGGAATCCTTATGATATTAGACATCAGGAATTACCAAATGAGTTCACTAGGCCCAAAGACAGGAAAGACAGAGAGAATGAGCTTGCACATTGGACCCATGCAACAAAACCACCGTCTGGAGCCTGCGCATCTACGGATAACCTCGGTTCAATCAGCATTTTGTTCTTGGTTACTCGAATAGAAAGAGTAATTTCGAAAGCTCAAGTCACTAGGCTTCTGCCAGCACAGGAACAACACCATCCACCTTACCTCGAGACATCGTCATTTTTAAAGAGAATGCTTGCATGGCTTATAAATTCGCCTCGCACCAGAGGAGAGCTACTTCAATCATGGTGATTTCCAGCGCAAATGCACTCAATTTGTTTGGAACCCATGGAGATAGCTATCAAGCAGTTGGTAACCAACACTTGCAAGAGTCCGACACTCATCACTGGTCTGTATATAGTAGTGTGTTCTCCCTTGCCCGTGAAATTGTACAGTCAGATTTTCGGGCAAGTAAAAGCGCAAACGATAAGCGCAGCAGGCTCTATGATTCCGCCTCTAGAATAGATGGATGAATTTCGGCTTGTACGAGCAATTTCGTAGATGTACTCATGAAGGGAGCTACCGAAGCCGTCTTTACCGAGATCAACCAGGTTACGAGTTGTTGAGATAACCAATCATTTTCTTATTTCATATCTAACCTACAATTTCATGCTAACTTACACTATTCTTGTTCTATGGCGTGACTTTTTATTTGCCCGATTCATAGTTCAGGGGTTCGGTTGATTTCATTCATTAAATACCAAACTGAGATGGCTGCATTCGGATTTGCTCTGCGATATATAATCACTTGAACCAACTATACTCGGTAGAAAGCCAACAAGGCACCCGATAGTTCGGATCACCCGTGTATGCTTTGTGGCGGAGATTTTGTCAATACATACCACCCATCTACCTTCGAGTGAAGGTCAAGTAGTAAAACTATTTGGATAGATCCCTACGTGTTTGACGTGACTGATCGTTCATCTAAGTAGGGTGAAGGCACTGCTTTGGTTGTACTCTTAGTACTTTGAGTGTGTGTATTGCGATTTTCGACGCTTTTGCTAAATTCTATAGAGCATCTTCGCGAAGGCCGGCTCTTTGAAGGCTGAAGCTTCAGTCCTCGACTCTTCTGGCAGGGTACTGCATCGGATCTTATCCCGAGTCCCATTTGCTTGGCTTCCTCGCCGATTAGGTAGAATGATAATTTTGTAAAAGAAAAAGAACGGAAATTATTTGAAATTTGTCTATTCTTGTCTATTGACTTCGTGGAGATGCTAGCCACTTACACACTTGATTAGTCACAATCCGTTTCACCCGCGAAAAACTTCCTTAATTCTAACAGATGTATCAATAAATACTGGCTCAGGATCCTTATTAGTGGAGGTTTATTGTATTTTTAATTCAACCTGTAACTTATTACTATACTTATACTATTACTATTACCTCTTTCATGGTTTTGATTCATTCGATTTTCTCATCCTGTTGGTCTAATAGTTCCTAGGACAAAGCTTAAAGAAAACTGCTCGAATCTGATATGGAAGTCTACTTCAGAATCTAGAAACAGTGATACTTACTCGGTCTACAGGTATTCTGAGGAATTCCTTGAATCAGTCAGCAGTATTATGTTAAGTTACGGATTACTACGTCAGGCAAGTGCTTAACACTTCGCTTCTCATCAAAGATGACATATGCAATGTCCAGCTCAGCTCAAGCGTTACGGAGATGATCAGTTCAAGAAAGATCCCTTCAATAAGCCACTATAATGAAATTCATGTACATCGATCTACGTTTCTAAGCCAGTCAAGCGTTGGTCATGTCTACAACTTTTGGGATTACTGCATATCACTAACTAACTGTTAGTGACCGGGATGTTATCAATGCCGCTGCTTTGAACATAACACTTATGACATGGAACATAGCAAAAAAAACTGTTGGAAGAGTACGTTGAACCGAGCTCCGAGTGATGTTCGGACTACTTATAGCGCTTGTATCTTTTCTTGGCTATCTCTGGTCATTATACAATCACTGCAATCTATATTTCGACCCCTTTATCATAATCATGACGAAAGACAGTCTTCCTAGCGATATTTACCTTCACTTCATAGTGGAAACACTTGCTTTCTTACGTGAGACCAGCGTACTTCACTTGCTAAGCGGCTGCGTTTGCATTACATTTTTGGTACGCCCTTCATTCTTTCCGTGTCTAGTTCTATTGTTCGCTCACATTCACAGAGCTTTTGTACCTGGGCATTCTACAGACTGAAGCTCCACCCTTTGGCCCCCATTCCAGGACCACCCCATTGGATTCTATCTCGTCTTCCATTCGTATGGGCTCTATATCGAGGACGATATGTGACACGAATTACAGAACTCCACGAAAAATACGGCCCAGTTGTACGTACTGCCGCAAATGAAGTGTCCTTCACCAACGAACAAGCATGGACTTCCCTATACGCTCCTCGTAAAGATGCCGCTAAAAGTCCTTTCTGGTACGCACCACGTCAGAATAATGGCTCTTATGGTATTTTTACCGCGCCTAGCGGCATCACTCATGGACGTTTCCGTCGAGCATTCTCTCCAGCTTTCACACAGAAATCTATGCGCGAACTTGAACCTATGATATTACATCATATAGACATATTGATATCACAACTCCAAAAAGAAGCATCTAAAGATATACCCTTGGATATCGTTCCATGGTTTGAATACATGGCTTTCGATATAGTTGGTGAACTCAGCTTCAGTAAATCATTCCACACTCTCACCTCCAACGAAAATCATCACCTCGTCGTTGCCCTCAGAAAAGTAATGACTTTCTTCACACAAGCTGTGGTTCCTCGTGTTCTTGGCCTAGAACTCTTCTGGCAATTCATTGTTTCGAAAGTTTCCCGTCAGAAGCGCGCTGCGTATAATAAATCCCTTAATGACTTTACTCACGAACGACTCAATTCAGGCGCACCTCCTGGACGAAAATATTCGGATCTCATGACATATTTCTCGCTTGCCCGCGCTGATGGCCGTGGTCTTACAGCTACAGAAACGGAAAACGCAATTGGGGATATTATGATTGCGGGTAGTGAGACGGTTGCTACGACATTAACTTCTATTGTCTATCATCTTGTGAGAAATACTGATGCGCATAGAGTTCTTACTAGTGAGGTTAGAGGAGCTTTTAAAGATGGAAATGATATCACGATTCAAGCAGTTACGAATATGGAATATTTAAATGCGGTTATTAATGAAGCTATGAGATTATGTCCTAGTCTTCCTATGGTTCTGCCGAGAATGGTAAATGAACCTGGGATAGAAGTTTGTGGATATTGGTTACCAGCTGGGGTACTTAACCTTTTCTCTCTTGCTACTTGGCTTTTTTTCTCGTCCAGTTCTTCACTCCCCTTTTATCCCCTAGATGAACCTAAACCCAAATGAAAGATTCAACTAATGATTAACTAGACACTGGTCAATTTCGCACAACTCCCTGCTTACATCTCACCAACCAATTTCGCTCGTCCAAATGACTTTATTCCCGAGCGCTGGCTCCCAGATTCAACACTTACACCTCATAACATTGTGAGTAATCATATTCGATTCTTTAATTTCTCACTTCCAAATCCTAAACATATCCTACAATTTCCTATCCCACCATCAACTCTTTCCCCCTTCCATCCCCCACCTCCCATTCCCCTCAAATCCTCCCCCAAGACAATAACCCACCACACCACACCACATCCCACTGCACCCAAGACCTCCTCATTCATTCTCTCCCAACCCCAACCCAAATCCCATCTCTCACTCCCCAGCCCCCACCACAAACCCAGCTAACCCCTCCCCCCTCTCCTTCTCCAAGAAAATCTTCAACCCCTTCTCCCTCGGACCCCGCGACTGCGTAGGCCAAGCCTTCGGACTAGCAGAAATACGACTCGCACTTACGAAATTAATTTTTTATTTTTCATTTGGAAGAGTAGTAGATGCAAAGGATTCGGAGGATTATAAATGGAATGATCAGAAGGCTTTTTTTGTTTGGGAGAAAGAACCGTTTTTTGTGAGGGTGGTGGGGGATTTGAGGGGGTTAAGGGATTAGGGATTAGGGATTAGGGGTTTGTTTGTTTGGGGGTGAGGGAGGGGGTGAGAGGTTAGTTGTGGTGGGATGTGATGGATGGGATAGGTGGGATGGGATGGATGATATATATAATGAATAATATATAATCTATTTCCATTTCTTAATATTTCTTTAAAAAAAGATTTACAATATATCTGATAGAATATAATCGAGTACAAACAAACAAACAAACTCATCTACCTAGTAATTATAAGAATAAATAAAATTGTATTGTATACTAAACGAACTTTAATATCTGATGTATTAGTTTCCTCCCCTCCCCCAAAAAAGAAAGAGATATAATATTAATAAGTAGAATGAATAGAGTAATCAAACCAACAATCCATCCCATCCCATCCTACCTCGCCTTCCTACCTCACCACACCTCATCTCACCACCATACCTCACCACCATATCTCACCAAACCTACCTACCTCGCATACATACCTTACTGTCACATCATAATTTACAAAAAAAAAGTACACTCTCCATCTCTACATCCATATCTATATCCATATCCATCACAAAAATCCATCACAAAATCTCAAATAACTATCACAAACAACTTTCACACAATATGCATACATTATACATACATACAATTCTATCTTCTCAATAGTAGGTACCTATTGTGAAAGTAATCCATCCACTCACCCATCCATTTATTCATCACGCACACACACACAAAAAGAATCTTCATCATCCCCCTCAAAATTTACTCAAACTGTATATTCATGAAGAAAGCTAACCACTGGATACATTTCCACGTAGGCAAGCATGCCATTATGACAATGAAGAGGAAAAAAAAAAACAAAAAAACTTCTCAAATTTCTGATTATGAATCAATGAATCTTCATCCCACGCAAACCCCCTTCCATAACGCCTCATGCAATGCGAAGAAAAAACGAAACGCAAATTCAAATTGAAATGTGTTGTGGCATTGGCATTAGATTTCGATCGTCTTCATCGCAGATTCATCATCAGCAGAGGTTTCCTTCTCAGAAGTTCCTGATACTAATCCTAACCCCGTAACCTTCTCACTAGCCTTCTCATTTTCTTTATTCTCATTAGTTGATTCAGATTCTAGTACTGGTCGTTCGGAAGCTTTATTCTCTATACTTGGTCTTGGTGTTTGAACATCGACAAGTTTCGTGGAGGGAATTTCCATCGTGTTGACTTTCGTTCCTGATCCTGAACCTTCTTCAGCAACTTTAGCTAGAGGACTCGATTTTCCAAAACCAGGACGATTTGGACTTGGAATGGGTGAAGCTCCAGAGAAACGTTGCATAGAACGTCCACGCGGTTCACCAATCTCAGCAGCTGGACTTGCGTAAGGAGATCCAGCCGGAGATCCTCCATTACCATTGACAGGTGGCGCTGATCTTCTTCGTACATTCTTGCGGCCATACTTTTGATCCATCCTCCATCTCAAGATATCGAAATAACCAGGCTCAACTTTTCCTGATTTGAATTCTTTCAACTTCAGCTCATTGGTTTCTTCATCCACAAACCATTTACCACTGCTGAGATCATCTGCGACTGTAGCCAAGAAAGCAGACCATGATCGTGCGACAACATATTTACAATCATAGTCCCGACCAAATAGAATGACCTGACCCCATTTACCAGCTGGTCCCGGTGCCAAATCAACTGCCAAGTTATTTCCACCCCAATCTCGAACAAGTGGAATCCAGGCGGGATGCGCGTAGAATTTTTGAATAGCATTAGGAGGTTGAGAATCCTGTTTTGCCAATAAATCTTGTCTCCAGTAAGGATTTTGCGCGTTTGCAGGTTGCTTCGACGAAGAAGATGAGCTACCACCTAATGCCTTTGGTGGCACTGAAGGTCTGGAGTTGCTGGGTGATTCTGTAAGATATTCCTGATTGACCACCTTCCAGTTTTCCCATTCTTGCACAATTTCCTCACAATCAAGTAACATGGAGCCAAAGATAATTCCAGTAGGTAGACCGCCACGTTCTTGTCCATCATGAAGTTGCATTGACTCTCGAACCTCCATTGGAAGGGAACAATCCAATTGATGCTCCAATTCATTTAAATCATTATTTGTGCATCCCTCGCAGAGTTGATCCCATAACTCTGCATAATTTTCCTCGGCCCATCTATCGATTCTCTTCCAGGAGTGTCCGACTGGTGGTGGTGGGGGAAGACCTTCTTGGAAAGCTTGCAATTGAATTTCTCCAGGTGTAACGTTCTCAAAATTTTCTTGTGTAGATTGACGTTGAAGCGTAGATGATCTCATTCCTGGCGAGTATGGTGATTGCGGACCTGGACTTACTGGAGGGGCGAATGGCGAACCTGGATAAGCGTTGCCATTAAGTGCAGATGTAGATTGTCGACCGGACTCTTCAAAATAGGGGGAGTTCAAATCTGCGCGTGATTCTGAAGCTGTTGTAGCAACTGACGTTAAGGGTTCATGTCGACTTTGTGCGAGAGGAACGTGTCCGCCAGTTCTATATGGAGAATCGTAAGACGAGTCTGTTTACTTTTAGTTAGAATCTTGTTGGAAATCTCGAGAGGTTTTGGTATCAACATACGACGATCATAACTGGTCATAGTATGCCAGAAAGATTTGAAGGCAGATCCCAATGGGCTAAACAGATGATGATTAGTATTATTCGCAGAAGTGATTGAAGTGATCCAAATTGAGACTGGAAAGATGGGATTGTGACGAAAAGGGGATTTTAGAAATGCAACTTACTTTCCTGCCATGGCTGGCAGTTATTCAACTATTATTGGAAATACTTCTAAGTTAGGAGATAAAACTTCCACAATTCCAATAGTTGTCGAATTTAGAATCCCCAGAAGATATGGAATGGAAAGAATATGTGATAGGTAGTATTTGAATTTATTTTTGAATTGTTTTGGTGGTTGAAATTGAGGTTATGCGCCGGTTTGGGAGGTGAGTAAGATAATTCTTAGAGAAATTGTTTTTAAGGAGAACAAGAGATTTGATTCGATTTGATTTGATTTGAATGAATGAATGATTAGGCGTGAAAAGGTTTCAAGCTTTATCAAATCGCGATCTATTGCCCTGAATTTCGGTGTCTGTACTCCGTACCACGAGCCACTTTACTAGCAACTAGACAGACTTAAGTAGTACTTGGTACTTCCTTCCCTGAACCAGCCTGTGCCTGGTACGTGAGTTTATCAATCCTCCAATCCGAAGATCAATAGAGAAGATTTAGCGGATATTTGTGTGGATCGGGAGAAAATGCCGATAGTGAGTGAGGGACGGCGATAAGTGTCGAATTTATAAGAAAAGGAGAGAAGAAGAAGAAGAAGAAGGAGGAGGAGGAGGAGGACGAGGAGACGGAGGAGAGACGGAGGAGAAGAAGAAGGTGAAGAATTGTTAAGGAGGGATTAGAAAGACTAGAAGGACTATGATAACTAGAATGACTAGGACTAAAGGATTAGGAGAATAATATGGCAGAGGGAAGATTCATTTCATTTCACAAGTGGTATAGTATGGATGGTAGGTAGTTAGTTGTACTGCATTTACTCGGTAAGTAGGTAGGTATTGATGATTATTACAATATTCCCCTTATAATTATGCGTTCATCGTAGGTAATAACAATAATAAATAGCTGAGCAGAAACCCAATACAGTTCATTCAAGTGAATCAATCTATTTGACTGGCTGTTTAAATTGTCTATGGAGTACCATTACTTCAGATAGACATCAGACCGAGTTTATGGTCCAATCTTATCATCGTTTCAAAGCAGCCAAGGAATATACATCAGCGGTGAAATCTTTCTACTCCGTATGTTGTGCTATATGTGATGGGAGTAAAGGCAAAAAGAGGTGCATTTGATGCATTTGACACCCTCGGTACTTGAACCTACAATTTAATTGTAATATCTCTGAAGAATGTTTTCTTCTATTTAATTATAAGATAGTCTACTACCTACTACGCATAGAATCTGAGTAAATCAACTTGATATGGTGATGACCGCAGATTAATACCCTTCTGAGATTGACCTAATCAGGTTATATTTGTTGTATATCGCTGCATTAGAGACAAGAAGAGTAGGGACCAACATGAATACCTCGTAATCAGATGGAACAATGGACTTTTGATTCATACGTAAGCTCCGCCGAAGGATATGTCCATGTAACTATTCTCAGATGCATTGTACTGTCCCTATATAAGGTATTCTAGAAATCCTTCAATCCGAACCTGACATACGGATATTACTATATTCCGGAGAATCATTCTAGATGTTCCTTTTGTCTTCCATCAAATTTCGCTTGAACCATTCCCTGAATTCCCAACTCCTGAGTATCAATTTTGAGTTTTCATCTAATGACTCTTGTTTTATGTCCGAAAAAGGGGAATTTTATGTAACCGCGATTAATGTTCATATAGAAGGTCAGAGGTCACGTCAACATGAATAAGTTTGGTGACTTCATCACGACTCGAAATTATACTTGACGAATCGTATGACAGATATCTACCATCTATCAAAATCAAGAGTTGAGGTATCACAACACCGTTGATCAACTAATCTTAAACTTAGGCATATGGAGTACATACACACCACGCGAAACAAAAAACAAAAGACATCTCCAGGGCTGAATGCAAGCAAGTACAAAATAACATGTTAGTAACAAGTTGGCGGCGTAGCAGCAATACACTTACTTAATACACATACATACCTCAAGCCATGGTTCTCACCATCCCCCGCTACACTCCTTAGCCGTTCCTCTCGTCCACCCTGCATCCCTAACCTCGAAATCCAAGTTCGAATTTAACCTCGCGCTCCGTTTCAAAGTTTCATAAGTATACATTAGTTCGCCATAAGCGTTCCGTGCGACGGGAGCAAGCACAATCATGTTTTGATTATTTACAATACCCAATGATCTAACAGCAATCAATCAAAACTCCAGCCTCTAAAATGCTTGGCGGGTGAATGACCGTGGGGTTACACGAAATGATTGGCTTTGGCTGGGGAAAGACACTGGACGTTGGAAATAAACGCTATGTTTCTAGGAAACAAAGGCGTCTGGAGGCGCAAATGATAAATCAGAAGAACTGGTGAGGCTGGTGGATAAGCCATGTTATGGTTTTGGATGTCCGAGTTGGTTTTGGTCCATTGCTATATTTATATGAACAGAGTATTTCGTGACAAACAATTGAATCGGAGGCCGTGAGAAAAGGCTAGACTCCTGGTTGAAGTTAAAGTTGTCGATGTGCTATAAACCTCTCTCTAGACTAATAATACTCTGCCTAGAATGTCCATGCATGCCAATATTGTCGCTCATAAGGTCATTATACTCGGGAAATGGTTACTGCGAATGGGTATTCTGCGACATTTGTCTACACAGCCTTCCTGGGATAGCAAGACGATGGAGAAATCTCAAGTGCTGTTTCTCTCTAACCATAGCCCTTGAGGATTTCTATCTTAGTGTATCATCTTCCTCTTGCAAACCCTGAAGTTTTCTTTTCAGACCTATGATATAACGGAAGAGGGGTTACTCTTGAGTATTTGCAATTGACAGAGCGAGTGAGTTGGAAATATGTGTTGGAATAGAGAGATCTACGAAATAGCGAGAGATATGAGGATAAAGGAGATGAAGAAAGTAAAACTGGATAGGAATACAGTATTTACATACATATTTGAAGTGTACCATCGCGAACACTTGTATCCTCTTCGAGATATAGTATATATTGTGATGGTTAAGCTCTTGCTTTTTGACATCTGATAGAGGATAGAACTGAACAATTGAAATGTAATACCCCGTCCGACTTTTGGCATGCTGAATTTAGAAATATAGATAGGTGCGCTTCCCGGATTATAACCATACCAAGGATCGGAGATTTAAAAGTGTCTTTGCTACAAAACAGGGAGCTCAATTCCATACCGAGTACATGCAACCATGGCACGTGATCGTGATTCTCCTGCAACATTAGCGCGCGGTTTTAGCGGGCTTGGCTGAAGCTATCCATTGCGCAGGACAGGCTTCACCTGGAATCAAGAAGCTATCAAATCATATCGCAACATCGACTACAATATCTATCTACGATTTTATACCAGCTGCGCAACAAAGCGAGACGTGTCGCCTGCTGAGAATAAAGTACGAAATTCTGCGGAGAAGGACATATTTAGTGGAGGCTGAGAGGAATTTGAGATAAGACAACGGTCTACTCGCAGATTATCGGTATCGTAAGGTAACAGATTCGCAAGTAACAATGTCGGAAGAACGTCTTTGGAAATTCAGAAAGCCGGAATGGATGAATAGTGCTACGGCGAAAGGTGCTGGTGTTTATGCTTCGGGAGCCTTGGTATGATGGCCCTATTGTTTACCCTTATGTTTCATCTGGTATTACCGCCTGATGGGACATCCGGCAATTCGCGGTTGAACATTACATCATTTATAATTACTTCTACTAACATATCTCAAACAGTTCTCTCTCTCATTCTTCATCCTTCTTGATGCAGCCCTCTGGTCTAAATCCGCCCTCAATGGATCTGACCCCCCAATTCACCTCGCATTCATCGACTGGCTTCCCCTCATCTTCTCCTCCCTTGGCATGCTCATCATAAACTCTATCGAAAAGTCCCGACTATCCGCAGATTCCTTCTCCTATAGCGGAAGTGGTGTTGCGTGGAAAGCAAGAGTAGTATTGTTCTTGGGGTTTGCTAGTTTGGCAGGAGGGTTGGCTGGGGGTATTACAGTATTGGTCTTGAAGTATGTGGTGCCCGGTGCGCAATGGCCTACTTTGGGAATGGGGTTTGCAAATGTAGGAGCAAATGCTGGGGTTATGTTGAGGTGAGTTCTCATTTTACTCTCGTTGAAATGGTGGTCTGAAAAAAGTGAAAAGTGTGAAAGAAGTGTCTGGAGGCTAACATGACTTAGTTCGGTGGTACTTTGGATCTCGCAGAATATCGAGGATGAATACTCCTATAATCTTGCTCTTTGAGCGAGTCTAGCCCGTCCGAGGATTTTGGCATAGTTTGAAGAGATGCGAAAGGTTAGAGAATGCGGAACACGATGGTATATGGATATGAAGAATGAATGGACAGAGAAAGGGTGTGACAAGACCGTTCAAATGCTTTTAGGGCATTGTTTGTAGTATAAGGGGTGTGCGATCTGCTAGTGATGTAAGGTTCAATTTTCATCCACTGTTAATGGCAAAATTTGGCTCTTCGTGAAGTTTGTGGTTATCGCTTCAAGATACTCATATCCCGCCATTGAAAGGTTCAACATGTTTCTCGAAATAATAAAATTTAGATTCTTAATGAAGATAACTACCATACCAACAGCTACATGCAGATATGCCACATATGTCCGCTCTAGAAAGTATGGGGATTTTCTAAGCTAGAAGTAGCTCCAACGAATCGGCAAACGAGGGACTCTTCGGGAAAAAAATAGCTCATCTCTAAGCTTCATGCACATCATTGTTCAACAATTATTCTTCAGTGTACTTTCAATTGAGTGATTTGTCCTCAATCTTTTTTCCTTTTACACATTACATACATGGATTTATGATTAGGATTTTTTTAATAAACATTTACTTTTTTAATTTATTCACTTGAAAACCCTAGAATATTTTTGAGGGTTTCCCCTCCCAATTAACATAATACCGTCGTCACCCACGAGCAAGCCAAAAAGTGCGAGCTCAAACAAAAATGGTGAAAACTGTAGATCCGAAGCCAGCGCCTGGTTCACATGATTCACTCGCGGCACAATATGCGAGGGCAAAGGCGCGCAAAGAAGCTCAGGAGCAGGCTATCAAAGAAGGGAAGAAGCTGGATAAGGATGGGAATATAATTCAACCTAAAGTACCTAGAAAGAAGGATAAAAAGGATGAGCTAAATGAGGCAAAAAGAGCTAAATGGAGAAGGGAGTGGTGGGCGGTTGGAGGTTGGTGGGCTTGGTTGGCGTAAGTTTTTCTGCGGAGGGCTTTAGAGGGGCATAGTACTAATCGATTTAATGAATAGGGTTATGCACGCCGTGGGGATATATTACTTTACAAAGGGATTCCTACTCACGCGGTTGGTGTTGGAAGAATCGTCGACTTGTGCTGAACCACCGATTGCAAGAACCGTTGATTATAAAGGAGCTGGTACACCGGAGGGAGGATGTTGGCATCCAAAGACATTTGATAGGGCTGTGGTGGTGATTGTGGATGCATTGCGCTACGATTTCGCGGTACCATTCGCCGGTGACGATTCGCAGGCTTTTCATAACGCTTTACCATTCTTATACGAAACTGCACGCAGAGAACCACATAATGCATTCTTATTACCTTTCATCGCGGATCCCCCTACAACTACATTGCAAAGATTGAAGGGTCTGACAACCGGAACACTTCCAACATTTGTGGATGCGGGGTCGAACTTTGCAGGTACTGCTATTGAAGAGGACAATCTTTTGGGCCAATTGAAAGATGCTGGTAAAAAGATTGTACATCTTGGTGATGATACATGGACTGCGCTATTTCCTGGATACTTTGAACCGAATATCAGTCGAGCATATGATTCCCTTAATGTTTGGGATTTGCATACGGTAGATAATGGTGTTACTGAACATATCATGCCACTGCTTGAAAATGAAAAGAAAGCCGACTGGGACGTTATGTTTGCGCACTATTTGGGTGTTGACCATGCGGGACATAGATATGGACCAAATCATCCGGCTATGACGAGCAAGTTACAGCAGATGGATATTATGATCAGAGGTCTTGTAGACAAGCTTGATGATGATACCTTGTTGGTTATCATGGGTGACCATGGTATGGATGGTAAAGGCGATCATGGGGGAGAGAGCGATGATGAAGTGGAAGCTGCATTATGGATGTATTCTAAGAAGGGGATATTCGGTCGCACTGACCCAACTTTTGTGACGCCTCCACAAAATGCAAAAACGCGACCAGTCAATCAAATTGACTTGGTCCCAACTCTTGCACTGCTCTTGGGTTGCCAATTCCTTTCAATAACCTCGGAAAGTCTATCGAGGAAGGCTTTCGCAGGTAAGAAAGGTAACGCCTTGGAAAACCTGGCCGAATGTGGCTAGAATGACTGCTGCTGTATAGAGATACTAGCTGCATATTTGCTGCCAGGGCATTGATGAGAGCACTATTGATGGTTCCCCATCTGCTCTTTGGTTGACAGCTGAGCAGACTCTGGATTCTAAATCGACTCAAAATTCTGCGGAGGTTTATCATGCATTCTCTGCCTATCAAACAGAGACTTTGCGAATTTGCCGAGATCTATGGGCACGATTTGATGTTCCTAGTATGATCATGGGCATTTGCATTCTTGCTGCTAGTGTACTAGCTTTGGTCCTCTATGCCAATAGCAATGTTAGTGACGGCAATGAACCCGAATCAGCGGATCTTGATGAAGCTCAAGCCAAATTGGAACTTGAAGCTGCTGCAAAAGGAGAGAGGTCTATTGGAGATGAGGAAATCAATCCAAATTTGCTGTTTTCGATTTCTTTGGCCTCAGCCGTTGGTGCAGCTGTAGGACTGTCTCTCTGGACCATGAAAGCCACTATCTTGGAAGATGTAATCGAAGGGCAAATTGTGGAATTGACTGCAAATGGCGCTGTCGTTGGAGGACTCATTGGAGCTCTTCTTTCATTGATGAAGATTGGTAATCCCTTCCCAACTACATTTTGGGGTTGGCTGGCAGCCATCTTCACTCTTAGTCAATCGATTGGCTTTGCATCTAATTCCTATACTATCTGGGAAGACTCGATCTTGTTGTTTTTCATCACAACTTTTGGAGTAGCTGGTGTTGTTTCTTCGCTTAGACAATCGGAAATACGCAGTCGCACCTTGGGAGTATATCACTCCATCGTATTCATTGGTCTTGCTTGGGTAGCCTCATACTCTAAGTTGTGCAGAGAAGAGCAGATGCCTTACTGCAGATCGACATATTATGCCTCTGCCACGTCCTCTACTTCCGCCCCTTGGCAATTACTCATTCCATTCTTCTTCGCATTTGCCTTGCCTGCATTCATCAAATCCTACTACGCAACCAGTCTCTCCTATGAAGGTTTTGCACCGGCCTGGATTGGTGGAGCTTTCAGATTTGGGCTTTTCCTTATTGCTACATTTTGGGCATTAGATGCCGCCGATGATGGAAATTGGTTCCCTAACTTCAGCGAAGGTATCTTGAAAGCCATGCGAGTACCAATTTCTCAGACAGTTCTTGCCATGGCTATCGGTGCTGGAACTATTGCGTTCAATTTTGCACCACCGTGCATTGCTATTGGCACTGTCTCACTCGGTGATCTTGCACCCGCTGGAGCCCCCAAACAACAAGGTACACGCGTCATGATCCTTGGTTATGGCAACACTCATGGTGCTCGATACTTCCTCCTCATAACCAACGTACTTTTAGCCGTTCTCATGGTTCAGAAACCCGTGGGCTTTGGTGCCCTCTCTCTCATGTCTCTTCAAATCCTTTCTCTCGTGGAATTCCTCGATCTCAACTCCCTGACCAACTCTCCCATCGGACCTATCATGCTCGCCATCCTCGGATCCTTCCACTTCTTCAAAACTGGTCATCAAGCCACTCTTTCCTCTATTCAATGGGAATCCGCTTTCATCCCTCTTCACACAATCCACTACCCTTGGTCTCCAATCCTCGTCGCTCTCAATTCGTTTGGCCCTCAAATCCTTGCCGCAACCGCAGTCCCTCTCATTGTCTTCTGGAAACAGCAACCAAAGAAAAAGGGACTCTTGAAAGCAGTTACCGCAGCTTTGGCATGGCATGTTCTCTATTATGCAGTCATGGCATTAGCAACGACAATGTGGGCTGGCTGGTTGAGAAGACATCTTATGTTGTATCGCATTTTTAGTCCGAAGTTCATGATGGCGGGTACGGTGTTGGGGGTTGTGGACCTGGTAGGCTTGACGGTTGTACTACTGGGGACTAGAGGGAATGTTAGTAGTGTGTGGAGTGTGTTTGGTTGGCCTTGAGTAGGGACGTTGTAATATGTGTGGTGGAGTTGGTTTCATATGGTTTCATAGATGTAACTGTGTCTGGGTTCTGTTTAGAGAAACAGAAGAGGATACTCTTTTGGATAGCATAGCATAGCATTGCAATGGTATGATATGGTATGAGTGGAGCAAACAGGAATAGAATTTAGAATAATAGATTTGTTTATCACTCAATTCTCGATGGTAAGACTCATGTCATATGTTATATGTGCATGGAATATAATTCCAATCGGTAATCATAAATAAGAATAGAGTTGGTAGATATGGAAATACAAAGCTAGCACCTGTATGGTGTAACGGGTATTAAATACAGAAATACAGTAAGTATGTCTATTATGCTCTGAAATTGGATAGAGGAGAGATCTTTGATTTGGGGGTGATGAGATAGAATGGGATAGGATGAGTTGGGATGGGTGATGATTTGTGGTGATGAGGTGGGTATACGAGGTAGATATTCATGTTCATGTTAATTCATCTTCATTTTGTAGCATGTAGGTATGGATATCTTGAGAAGTTGAGAGATACTTTGTTACTATAAATTTTCTACAATGTCATCGAATCTTTTGTATGCGGAATATCTTCCGCATGTAAAAAATAAAAAGTTTGAAGAATTTCAGATAGGTTGTTTAGACACTCGAGCTCTTACAAATCACCCGAAAACTTATATTTTGGAATCTGGGTGTTAATTAGGAACGTTGACAGACGTGCAACAATACTTTTGGAGATGGGTTCACGTGATTTTGACCAGTAGGAAATTGTTCTGTGCTAATACGGTGATGCGATACGGTTTTGTCGCATCCATGCATGTTCATAGCTAGCTACAAGAGCTCTCTTGACTTTTCAATTTTTTTTATATAAATAAACAACTTTTACATTCACAAAATTATTACATCAATCCCAGTCTTTAATTACAAGAACAAATAAATATGGCAGAACCACCAAGGAGAAGACAACGTCCTGATAGTACAAAAATGTGGGAGGAAAGTGAAAAGCGTGGTCCTGCTCGAGACAGAGATGATAAAAATGACCGAGGAGATCGACGTGATGATAGAAATCGCAATCATGACCGCAATCGCAGAGATAGAAGTAGATCACCGCGCGACTCGAGGGATCATAGACGCAGTTCATATAGGGATAGGGATAGGGATCGAGAACGAGAACGAGACCGTGGTGGCCGGAGAGATGATCGAGATGGGCGCGACAATGACAGAAATAGAGACTACCGAGAGAGGAATAATGAGAGATCAGGTAGAAAAGATGGTCATCGAACAGATGTGCCAGATAGGACCAGAGGTGAGTTTATGCCAGATGCCCTTTCGCAGACGATGTTTGCATTGAGAGGCACACCTAACATTGGTAAAGAGGATATTCGGCAATCTCGAGAGAAGGATGAGGATAGAAATGGTAGAAAAGGTATGTTTTCACCAGATTTGGAGGAGGATAGAACAGCAATATTTCCAATTAGAACCCTGTCTAATACACATCAAGACAATGAGCGATCATCAGGAGAGAAGTCAAATGACGAGCAAGGTCGAGGAGTCCACGGCGCGATGATGAACGAGGTACAGGAAAGATAAAGGTAAAGATGAGACTTCACGGAGGAGCGAATGTACGGATGATCGAATTACTCCACAACCAGTAAGCTTCAGTATTGGGGCTGGTCACACAACTACAGGTCAAGATCACGATCGGATGGATATTGATGGTGGAAACAAGAAGAAGAAATCACAACCCAAGAAGAAGATAGAGGAGGAAGTAGAGGAAGAGGACGATGATATTGTGGTTGAGGATGATGGAATGGCAGCTATGCAAGCAATGATGGGATTTGGAGGATTCGCAACTACGCAAAACAAACAGGTGCCAGGAAATAATGTTAGTGCTGTGCGAAAGGAGAAGAAGACAGAGTATCGACAATACATGAATAGGGTTGGAGGATTCAATAGACCTTTGAGTCCAAGTAGGGATTAATTGAGAGGAGTAGAGTATAAGAATAGGGTATGGTAGACAGGGCAGGTGAGGGGTTACATGTTTAAGAGGGGAAAGCTGTACAAGTTGACAGATTGGTGGATTGCTGTTGGCGAATTGTCATATTGACATCCTACCTGACCACACGATATCCGGAGGGTTATCTTCCTTATTTATTAACATTTTTTTTTTAGCCATTCTCCATTAGGAAGAGGATAAATACCCAGGAACATTTTCCCGATTGCCGGAAACATAATTCAATTTATCCGTTACTCTCGGCCCGTGTTTCTAACCGTGCTCTGTAAATTTGACCAATAATGATTTAGATTCTTGATGCTTCCCCTGCAGCCTTCCCTGAAGCCTTGCGCTACAGGCTGATCGCAACGCAATCTATCCACAAATCCGCAACGGTGTTCTTTGAGGAGAGATTCCACCGATTTCCCCTCATAAACTCTTTCCTTTTCTTTTCCCATATGTTAAGTTTTCAGATTGAAACTCTGGAGCTTAACTTTTCTTCTTCACAAACTGGGGAAACATGACGCGCCTCCATTTGCGTCTGCCCGTTGCGGCTCTGGTAGCAGCACTTTCGCTGTTTGGCAATCCTGCACACGCGGCTGAGACTCAAGATGTAGGAATTGTTACGACGGAAATTGCGAGAGCTCAGAATAGCACGTTGATGTGGGGTCCGTATAAACCGAATCTTTATTTTGGTGTTAGGCCTAGGATACCGAAGAGTTTCACCGGTGGTTTGATGTGGGCGAAGGTTAATAATTTTGTGGATGTTCAGAATAGTAAGTTCTCTTTTTTATGGGATAGCTATGGGTTGTTTTGGGAGGTCGTGGTGCGGAGCTTATGCTGATGCTAATTACTATAATGGCAAATGTTGAAATCGGTGGATCATAGCTAACTCTATAATCTATAGACTTTAGACACACTTGCGAGCAAGGTGATGGCATGAGAGGTTATGGTTGGGAGGAATTTGATGCTCGAACTGGTGGGAAGCAAACTATGCATGATGAGAGCAATGGTATTGATATCACAACCTTCTTCATCAAATCCCCTGGTGGTAAACATGGTGGAAACTGGGCTACGCGAGTGAGGGGTAAAGTTAGGGATGGCTCGCCAGCAGATTTGCAGACAACGATTATCTTCTATGCTTCTCTTGAAGGACTTGGCAGTCTCACAGTTGCAAATGAGGATGATGATCTTGGATTTGCCGGAGAAGTCAATTTCAATGGGGAATCTGATGGATTGGGCGAATATAAGGTCACCGTGACAACTGGCCGAGGTTTTCACCCTGCTTCTGAACATCCTTCATATAAAGAGAAGCCTTTGGATAGGACTATTGTTAACTCCCTCACACTTGACGAAAAGTTATTGTGGGCTGCTAAACCTCATTTGTTTGGCAAGTTGAAGGAGCAAATCGATGAATATATTGAAAGATATGGAGAGGAAAATCCTCCTCCTCCATACCAGATCTACACCATTAAGCATGCACCAGATGAAGGAAACTTGCACTTGGTTCAAAAAGTCTTCGAGGGAGATTTCGAATTCGACATCATCTTCAACAGCGCATCAGCACCTAAAGGACTTTCCAGCCAAGAAATCTCTCAATTGATTGGAGATAACAATAAATCCTTCTTTGAAAGATTTATCTCTACATTTGATTTGCAACCTCCTTTTGATATTGAAAGTCTGCAAAGATTTTCAAGTCATATGTTCTCAAACTTGATTGGTGGTCTTGGATATTTCCATGGTGATTCGGTTGTTGATCGTTCATATGCTGAGGAATATGAGGAAAATAACGAAGGATTTTGGGAAGAAGCTGCAGAGGCAAGAGGACGAAGACAAGAAAAACTTGAAGGTCCATCAGAACTTTTCACTACAGTTCCATCTCGACCATTTTTCCCAAGAGGATTCCTCTGGGATGAAGGATTCCATCTTCTTCCTATTGCTGATTGGGATATTGATCTTACTCTCGAAATTGTTAAAAGCTGGTTTAATCTTATGGATGAAGATGGATGGATTGGTAGAGAACAAATTCTTGGTGCTGAAGCTCGTAGCAAGGTTCCACCAGAATTTCAAACACAGTATCCTCACTACGCCAACCCACCTACACTATTCTTCATTGTGGATGCTTTTATTAGCAAGCTTGGTGCATTAAATGGTACATCGCCATTAGCGAAAGAGAAACTCGCCCAAGAACCATCAATCTACTCGGCCTTTTTACAAAAGCCAGAAGCTGGTCTTCAATACCTCAATGAGCTTTATCCTAAACTCAAGAAGCATTACCAATGGTTCCGCAAAACTCAATCCGGAGATTTGAAATCTTATGATCGTGATGCATTTAGTACCAAGGAAGGTTTCAGGTGGAGGGGCCGAACACCACAACATATCCTCACTAGTGGTCTCGATGATTATCCTCGTCCTCAACCACCTCATCCAGGAGAACTTCATGTCGATTTAATGTCTTGGATGGGTATGATGACCAAATCTCTTAAAAATATCGCCAGTCTCCTTGGTATGGCCGATGATGTTGCCGAATTATCTACTATCGAAATAGCTATTCAACGCAACATCGACGATTTACATTGGAGCGAGAAGGAGAAATGTTACTGCGATGCTACAATTAATGATTATGAAGAACATGAATTGGTTTGTCACAAGGGATATGTTTCCCTCTTCCCATTCTTAACAGGTCTTCTTGATAAGGATAGTGATAAATTAGGTCATATTCTTAATTTACTTGGGGATGAAGAGGAATTGTGGAGTGAATTTGGAATTAGGTCTTTGAGTAAGAAAGATAAGTTTTATGGAACTGATGAAAATTATTGGAGGGGTCCTATTTGGATGAATATGAATTATTTGGCGGTTTCTCAACTTCTTGTAAGTTTTCTATCTCTTGATCCCCCTTCCGCTCCTTTATTCTCGTCAACCTCTATCCTAATCAATAATTCTAACCAACCCACAGAAATACGCAGAAATCCCCGGTCCTCATCAAGAAAAATCCAAAGATCTCTACACCAGACTCAGATTAAATTTAATCAAGACGGTCTATGACAGTTTTCAAGAAACAGGCTTTGCATGGGAACAATATAATCCGGAAACGGGAGTGGGACAGAGAACTCAACATTTTACCGGTTGGACTAGTTTGGTGGTTAAGATTATGAGTATGCCGGATTTGAGTGAGGGTGCTTTTGAGGCGGAGGGACAGGCTCCTGAGAAGGATGATGAACAGGTTCCTGAGAAGGATGAAGATGCTCTTAAGAAGGATGAATTGTGATGTAGAGGGTTTTGAGTTGATTGGGATTTAGTTAGGTGAAGATGGGGGGGGAGGGGATGGAAGTAGAAAATAAAAAAAGAGAAAAGGGATGAAGTGATTGAGTAGAGACATGAATTTATGACTTTGAGGGGTATGATTTAGATAGATTGTGTGTATATAAGAGTTCTAGAATCTACTTATTATGTATCAAGTGAAAAAAAAATTATATCAAAATTGAGAATCTTTGAAGTTTTTAATTTTTAATTTTTTATATAAAAGATTGATATGATATAAGAAAAATAATTAAATTAATATATCAAATTTAAAGTTTATTAATAATTCTATCAAAGATTTATAGATATTATATAAAATCAAATTATGTAAATTAATTAAGAATTAAAATGTTACGACGGGTAACATATTTCCGTATCACATGACTAATCACAGGATCAGAGCTATCATGTGACCGGCTCTAATCAATCTAGTTAGAGCCTCTAGAGCCAGAACACGAAGGTCTATATAATCAAGATGGATTTCCTTTGTATAGAGCTTCGTGCTCAAGATCAATCATTTAGTACACTCTACTATTAGTTACGAATAGCATACCATTATTTTCATTACTTAAGTCCCTGCTTGACGCCTAGTTATAAACCATCTCGAGAGCCTAGAGCACTTCCACGTGATCTAGACGGCAAACCTCGTAACAACGACTTTCCCGTCACAATAAATCAAAATCATTATTTTTGATATAAAATAATGACCTATATTAAAGGTGGCCCAGAAAAGGGGTACTAGACTTATAATTATAAAACATTGATTTAATATAATATATTTAATAATAAATACTATTTTTTTTTTTTAATGTCACGAATCACGACTATTATAACACAATAAAAGCAAGTACGGAGGTTTGGGCCGCTGTTTCCGGGGGGGCCCTTATCGATAAGGAATCCTAGGACAAAACGATTAGGCAACTATGTAGGCTTAGGACAAGTGTCCTAGGATAATATTTGTCCTAGGACAATTATCCTAGAAGCTATATTATCCTAGGATAAGAATCGTCCTAGGATTAGTGTCCTGAGGCCTTTAAAAGATCATGTGATGGATAGACTGGATAGCCTAGTCTATCCAGTCTAGAAAATAGCCCAGATAGACTAGTTTATCCAGGCTATCCAATAATATTTAGAAGTATATAGTTAAGATAATTTTATAATTTAGAAGCTTTATGCTCAACTTAGTTATCAATTAGTTTATCTACATTCTACTTGATCTAGTAACGACTTCACTTCCAAGTGAATACCAGTGATAAAGCCTTAACCCATAACTACCAACCCAACGAAACCTTATGCAGCTGCTGCCTTCAGTACAGAATCGTTACATTTAATAGAATTTGAAGATGGGGGGTTGAATTAAAATAATTTTCGATAATTATATAAAAGTAAACTCTATGTAGAATGTTTTTAATAGTGTGTAATGAATCAACGAGTATGGAAATTATTAGTTTAATTTGAAGAGGTATTGAATTGAGTGAAAGGGGGGTCGGGGGGTATGTAGGTTTTAACTTTTAATTAGATGATTAGATGGTTAGAAATAGGGTTTGTGGTGTTTGTTTAGATATGGGATATCGGTGATTATTGTATTAAATATGTATACTCTTAGAAATTCGTCCTATGCGGAATAGATATAAAGGTATTATTCACATAAAGGTCGAGATTGGATTGGATTAGATCGTCTTATCTAATCCAAAGTTTTGATCATCTATCTATTCATACCTCCTCAACAACCTTGGAATTCTCTGGAAGTGATATGTGAATTGGATGGATGTATCAAAATCTACCTATTAATCAGATAGAGTCGGTAACCAAATGCCGGGAAATAACTTGGTAGAAATATTATAATATAACGTGTATGTTTGTTTATTTGTTATTTCGATGTCCGTTTAAGAAATTTTGATTATTCTGGACTTGGTAGAGTACATATTATGAATAAGATGAATATGGTGAGAAGAACGAAGATCGTTACTACTGCATACAATATACAATCACGTGTCGTGATTTCGTCGATAATAGCTGAGAATGTCGACTGTAACATGCAATCCATAAGTTATGGACTGTAATCTTTCAACTCAAATCCATACCAAACCAACTCCCTCAATCCTCCTCCTCATCAGTAAAATCCTCCTCCCCCTCCTCCTCCAAATCCCCCTCCTTCATCGGAGCATCCACCCTCAATATACCCCCCCCATCCACCTGCGCTCCTTGCCCTTTCTCCACAATCTCAACAAACAACCCCGGCCTACGCACCAAAATACCCACCACCCAACACGCCTTACAAAACTCGACCCTAAAATTCCTCCACTCCACACTTATGACCCTCTTATCCCCATCCCTTTCCGCATCCCCATTCCCTTCCCCATCCCCACCTCCTCCCTCCTCTCCACGCTCCCTCACCTCCCCCCCCACCCTCTCAACCCCCGTCCACAAAACCACCGTCTCCTCACCCACACTCCGCTCATCCAACACCGCAAACGTATTCCTACTAAACGGATACGAAGTACTTTGAGGCGCGCTTCTTACAAATTCTGTAAGAGCCGATAGCGGAGCGTTAAGAAACCCCGTTTGGAAAGGTCGAATACGTGTGTGTGTGGGTTTTTCAATGCGTGTTTGATCATCATGCGGTGTTCGTACGACAGACCAGATTTTGGAACTTTCTTCTGTGCGTTGAGAGAGGTGGATGAAGTGCGTTATTACCTAGGTATGGGATTATTATACTATACTATACGACTAGTAGTGTGTTTTGAGGAGGCGAGAAGAAGAAGAAGAAGGATTGGGTACTTCGGGTGATATTTCTGCCGTGCAAAATGTGAGGATATTTTCACTCATTTTGATGATTTTTTTTTGAGGATTTTTTCTTGAAGGTTGCTGTTAGTGTGCTTTGCTTGTTAATTATGTATACAGTTCTAAGGATTATTAGATGCGTTGATGTCATCGTATGTAACGTCTAATTGAAGTCACGGCTTGTTATGTAATCAATGAGGGGTAAGTGAGGTAATAAGGAAATTGATTTTGCATAAAATGCGTAAAGATAGAAATTAAGCAAAATTATGGCACAGCAATGTTGGGACACATCTTACTAAATTAGGAGGCCGAATTTATGTCTAATTTTGGGGTTCATTGATCTGGTAATCATTTGATTTTCGCTTAAATCGGGGGTTTTTGTGGGAATCTTATTGTTTAGAATCATCGTTATCAATAGTTGTAGTCATCAAATGCTTTCGAGACTGTAGTACCTTTCAAGTTTAAATAACAAAGTGTAACTGAGCATCTAGGCAAAATACAGCCAACAAGCCAACAAACTGGCAACCGAATAGCAAGAAAAAGCAGCAAAAGCCCCAGAAATCAATAAAAAGCTAGGAAAAGTCTACAATGGGATCCTGCAAGATACCTTTGAATACATAGCTCCAGATTCTTACTCATATATTCATAAATAAGTCTACTCAATTCTTGCCGGGAAATCGTGGTAAGAAATTACATCATTCCCAACATACCAAGTTCAAGCTTCCGTATTCTTATTTGTAGAATCATAAAATTTACTCTCATTTAGCTCTGAATCCGTAATTTCCATCAAGTAAGCTTTTCAGGCATTAATACTTGGAGTATGACTTGCATCCGAGTACTTGTTATGGATTTCAACTATGAGGCACCACTTACATTTTGTACACTGAATTGGGGTTGAAAAGAAAACATACATTTGATATGACTTATTACTTCATTCTTTAGCCACATTCTTGCTCCATGATCGAATCTAACTTTAAATTGATAGGTTAGAGTGAGTGATAGCCTTTACCCGGGGTCGATAATGACGGGATTTCCGTCTCGGTCAGCGGAGATACAAGCAAAATGGGTTCAGTGCAATTGTATAGCCCCTGTGAATGATCAGTTTGGTATTAACATCAGACTCAAGGTTGGAATTACTGCATACGAATGTAAAGTGCTATGGATATCCTTATGATCGGCAATAGGAGTCTATCCACTTCCCCAGCGCGATACATAGCCACTATTGCGCTTGAGAACATCGCATTTCGATCATTGCAGTGCTACCCGTGATGGTAATGTCTAGACCGTCATGCGTCCTGTAGATATCACATTTCTGGTTGTTGCTAGTATCGTCGGTGATGAAGATAAGTAGGCTACCGTTGGTGATGATGTCTTCTCTCCGAAGGACTAGAGGGTTATTTCATTCTGTAGTTGACAGGCCAGCAGGACGAGCTATGCTTCAAAAAGTGGGAAGATAAATGAAGTGCATAATTATCGAGCCTACACAAAATTGAAAGAGTAACAGGGAGGTTTCAATGAATTCCTGAATGTCTAAAAGATATCGAGAATAAATAGTTAAGAATCGAAGATGTTTGTGTGATATAGAGCTACAATATAGCCGGAATAACCTTGGTCTTATATTCATGGGTTTACCTCGCTATAAAAGCGTCACCGCTGTGATCTTAAGATTTTTCGTAATAAATATCCCATCTCAGCTAGCCTTAACATACTTTCTAGGCAGCAAGATACGGTAAATAGGGCTGTTCACTGTGCTCAAAGCGGAGCGTGCTCATCTCCCGTTCAGGACGATCCGGCAATGATGCCGAAGTGTGGAATTAGCAAATCTGATCCACTTTACAACGGGCTGCCCGCAGAAACTGATTACTAATTCGTTTTTCAGAGTGGGCCTCGAATTGTTTTTCCCCAAATTCCTCGGCATCTGAATTTAGGCAACCATAATCCGAACTTAGCCGGGCAGTTAGAGCTCTAGGAGAAGACATGTAGCATGGAACACGTATCTGCGCGATTAATAGCAACCACAGCATTACGAATGGAAGATGGCTCAGGCAATTATTTACATCACTTAACTTGCAGGTGTATGAACAAAGACCCACCCGGCCCCAGATCCAGGTATAGGTACAATAAAACATCCCGCATAATATCGTATTAATGCAGGATGTTCGCGATGATTTCTAGAAAAGGATTAACTGGCAAATATGATCCTAGATCTTGCGTTTATGACAAGCTAAGTGGCTACTATCCATTCAGGTCTCTCCACCTTCTCAAAGGTTATTCTACTAAACCTATGTCGTGAGTGAGGGTTTGGAAGTTCCTGAGGACTCAAAAAGGCAGGTATCAACCTCATAGGCTGATGTGGAGAGATTTATAGTAAGGCATGGCCCATGGTGGACGGATTTTTGCGCTGGAGTCTAATGTCTTATTGCGAGACGGAGAACATAGGTAGACAACTTGACCTATAGAACCTATTGCTTTCGAGAAATCGGTAGACACTGTCATGCAAAAGTTTAAGCTTCTTACTTGAAGCCTCCATTCTTTGTCAGCTTCTGCTTTGTCTTCCTCGAATAAAAACGGGCTGATGTGATTATTACATGAAGTATGATCGGACGAACTTTCATCCATAGCCCCAGTTTTGTGAATATAAAGTTTAAGTTTATAGAAAGGCTATCATATAGAAATTAAAACGCACATTGCTTGCCGAGTTGATTTGAGTTATGCAGCATGCACGCCATCTAATCCCCTGTATTAGAACCATGCTCAGAAACAAGCGATGGACGTCTGATAGGCTCATGCATACGGAAACATCTTAGCGAATTTCAACTCTGATATTATTTCTTACTGTAAGATTATACCGTATCGAAATAAATTGTATTTCGGTGCCTAGTTTGGGTCCACCACTGGCTAAAGAGCTGACCTCTCTTTTGACGAATACAAACTTTTGGAACCAGAGCCACACCCGGTGCCCTAGCGTACCTTTTTCTACTTCCCCCACCGCTAGGCTCTGTTTTAAGTACCTCCTAGTGACTAGCTCATTTTTACGCCGCAAAATACCAACACCAGATGATTCTGGGCTATGGGAATAAAGCATAGCTTCCCCCAACAGGCATTCTTGAAGTAAAAAAGGTTAAACGTTACTTCGGTAAGCAAGTTTCAGAGCCAGTCCTGTGGCTGTCATCATAAATTTCTTGTTCTATAACGGTGTAATTTGAGTAAATCTTAAGTCAATATCCCGTAAATTCAAGTGCTGGCGTGATGGTGTCCACCAACTGTGGGTGATCCAAAATAAAGCATGATACTGTCGTGCATTCTTGGTGAATAAGAGACCCTCTATCAAGCTGCTTTGGGAACCATCGAGAAATCATGCTTGAGAGGCTCTCCACAAAGTACCAAATCTGATGACCTTCAAGCATCCGCTCCTGTGGAATGAGCTCGAAGATCTATTATGTCTGCCTGTTTCAAGAAACATCGCGTACTTGAACTAAGACGAGATACGAGTGCAGGCCTGCACACAGTTGGAATTGCATGACGACGACAATACGAAGTCTAATTAAGACTTTTGGCGGCCATGTATCTTATCATGAAGCCTCCGTGAAGGTTAAAAGAAGGACAAATCGACCTCGGCATAGCCTACTTTACTCCATAAGTTGCTTGTCTTATTATATCGAGGTTTTCCATCAGGAATTGCTTTTCAGTTCTGTTGTATACAAACCCGGCAGCAGCAAGTTCAATACCTATCATGTATAATCTCATTAGCAATACACATAGCCTCCTAAAAAGCCCATCACTTCAAGTATTGAGAAGAGTATCCAGGGACAGCTATACTCCTTCCGAAGACAGCATCGGCGATATGGGCGACAGCATCGATAGGAGTAGGCGTTGTCTACCTCTCCATCATAAAATGGTCAATGGACTCCCATGTCAAAGAAAGAAGAGATTTCTCTGGAGACGTGGTGTTTGGATATGTTTTCTTCTATCCGTTCTCGGCATCATCGCAGCGTTGTTAGTACTATGACCCATTTTGTTTCTTTTGGTGACCATATTGAAAGCTTGAACTGACCCAAACCTTAGGATTTGGCTTACACTTCTAATGACCCTCCCTCGTCGCCACAAGCCTCGCATGTCATCCAGTGGAATAAACTCTGTAGTTGAACAATGGCGAAAACCCAGCGATTCAGCCACTCTGCTTTCACCCTGGAAGCCAAACTTCACAAAGAATATTATGCCGATGGCATGCCATTCTCATAATGACTACTGGCGATACGTTCCACTTTTCGAAGCTCTCGCAGCTGGTTGTACAGGAACAGAAGCAGATATATGGTTAAACAACAAAGCTGGCAATGCCGATGTGTTGGTTAGCCATTCTTTGAAATCACTTAAAGAAGACCGCACGCTTCAGAATTTGTACATCAGACCTCTCGTTACAATACTTGAAAATCAAAACAATGATTCCCCGGCATTAGAAGGAGGATACAATAATCCCAACGGCGTATTCCAGTCGAGTCCTACTACGACCTTAACCTTGCTTCTTGACTTCAAGTCTGGCGGGGCTGATCTATGGTATTCCGCAAACCAGGAGCTCGAAGCTCTTCGCTCGAGAGGTTGGCTCACCCATTGGAGCAAGTCCACGGGTGAAATTAGCTGGCGCCCAATAATTGTCGTCGCCACAGGAAAGGTGTCTTTTGATCTTTTGGTTTCAAACACGACCTACCGCGATGTTTTTTATGATGCCCCCCTAGAGGACATATCAAACTCTAAATATGATAGCTCAAATTCGTATTATGCAAGCACTCCAATGAGTACTCTAGGCAAAATATGGCTTTGGAAATTCAGTTCCAAACAACTGAACAAAATCAAGACTCAAATCGCCATGGCAAATGAAAAAGGCGTCAAAGCCAGATATTGGGAGACACCAGCTTTTCCAGTCATTTTCAGGGAATACATCTGGGGGATTCTGGTGGAAAATGGAGCTGGAATGCTGAATGTTGATGTGTTTCCATCATCGCTGTTTTATCTTTTAATCACTAGATTTGGTCAAAATAGTCTTACTTGGTAACTTACTCACATGTTCAAGGACGGAAATGAACCTTAGGAATTATTTCGCTGAAGGCATAGGGTCCATTGGACTCGGCCATGGCCATGACCAATGTTGTGGACTTGCGATTATTTCGACTTCAATATTTGCCAAAACGTGCTTTCTGTGATGTGCCATCACCGGCAGTCATATTTCACTGTTGCCTTGAAATTCAAGCCGTTTTTGGAATTTAAGTGGAAGTTATTCGGAAATGTAAAGAGGTTGAGGACATGACGCGCGTAGGGTGGAGAAGCGCGAGATAGTATCACGTGATAGCTTGAGCAGATGCTGCTAACCATCGGATCCTTCACTCAAGTATTTTGCTTTCATTAATTTGTTCTCAAGAAAGAAATTCTACTAATTCTTCGTGTTCAATCTTTCCAATTGCTGTTGTTTCAGAGATGCAATCACTGATCCGTTCTATCAATATCAATATCAATCTTTCTTATCATTACAGCTCTCTCAGCCCAACTCAAGATCCCGTACTTGCGGAGGAGTCTCGCAAGTATTTTCATTTGAGCCTTGCAGAGTTAATTGTTCGAAGGGGTAAAAGGATGTTTGATGAAAATGGACCATGTCATTATGCCATTAGTGATATGCTTCACACTTGCAGAGGACACAAGAGTCATAGGCGTGTGTGTGTCATAAACTGGCCGAGGATGATGATGATCAAAATACGGATGCGCAACTCCAAAGATACAGAACAGACATTGATGAACTTGAGACATTACTTTTCTCTATTGTACTCGTATGTAAGGTTTATTGATGGGCATGACTCTCATCACATTACTAATGCAAGTGTACATCATTGCGGCATTCATCTACCCCGCATCACCATGAGACCTGCAGTAGCTTTGCAGCTCTTGATATGCGTCGGTACATACCAACCCGAAAGTCTATTTAGTAGAAGATATTTTCCGTGATCTTCAATACTATACAAAGTCTTTGATTCGCAATGATCAAGATAATCCTCAGGTTCCCGTGCATCTTGAATTTTGCTGTTTCAAGGTGATGATGTGGATCAGACATCGGAACTGCGGCTTTACCAAAGAACAAACAGCTATAAGATACCTTGATGGATCCAATTCTTTTGTGCAGACATAACTGTACCATCTCATTCTAGGTTTACAAAAATCATAGGTGGAGATCAGTTTGTGATGATGTTGCTGCTTTCTCATTTCGTTCTGCTACTTTCGGCAACAGCAGTATCATGCTCACCAGTGGAAAGCAAAAGATCGCGATTTGACGAGCGCCAAAGTACCAGTACTTCCTCTCCGACAGTTGATCTCGGATATAGTGTATATCAAGGATATTACAATGCTACATCCCAACTTAACATATTCAAAGGGTACGTACAAATATAGATAAGCCCAGTCGCCTCCAAAAGCAGAAATCTTATGAAGCCAGAATTCGATATGCGGCACCTCCAGTGGGCAAACTTCGTTGGCAGAAGCCACAACCTCCAGCAGTGAACAGATCTTCAACAGTACAGGCGAAGTCATATCCTCCTCACTGCCCGCAAAGTGCTGATGCTCCTATGTAAGTATTTTTCAATATCCTTAATGTTTAGTACTCTAACAATCCAAGGCCCGCAAACTATAACTTTACGAGGTCAGGTCTTGGAAATGAAGATTGTTTATTCTTAAGCGTTTGGGCCTCACCAAATGCAACAAACCTCCCAGTAATGGTCTGGATCCGTACGTCTCTGTTTATTTGCCTGTATCTTACGCTTCCGGTGGTATAAGTTAACTCTTTTTAGACGGTGGAGGCTATGGCACTGGCTCTGGTAACAATGATTTTTCGGAATTAGCCAACACCAACTCCAATGCCTTCATTCTAGTAGCTATTCAGTACCGCCTGGGTGCCTTTGGTTTCCTCTCATCATCTGACCTCGTCCGTTCAGGTGGTGTCCCAAACGCAGGTCTCTATGATATGAATTTTTCATTTCAATGGGTTCAATCTCACATTTCCAAATTTGGGGGTGACCCTTCTCGAGTTACTATTGCTGGTGAATCTGCAGGAGGGGGTGGTGTGATGTTACAAACTATGGCCTTTGGGGGGAGCTTAGGTACGAGTTTGTTTAACAACGGAATTGTGGCGAGTCCTTATCTACCGATGCAGTATGATTACGATGGATTGAAACCAGAAGAGAGCTATGAAAAATTTGGGGATGCGGTAGGATGTAGAAGTGGAAATGGGAGCGTATTCGATTGTTTAGTGGGTACGGATACGTTTGCATTGCAAAATGCTAGTGCATATGTTTCTGCAAATGGTAATTATGGCCAATGGGCTTTCTTACCCGTAACGGATGGGGAATTTTTGGTCAAAAGGCCATCCGAGCAATTATTAGCTGGTGAGGTGAATGGTGTGAGAATGTTGTCTGGCGTACGTACCCCCTTTTTGCAAACCCACAAAAAGAACCTAGGCAGCTAATAATCCTCAGAACAATGCTAATGAAGCCCCTGGGTTTGTTCCACAACACATCAACACAACGACCGCCTTCAATACATTCACACAATCCCTCTTTCCCTTGATGTCCAATTCTACTCTGGACCGCCTCTACCAAAAGTACTTCATTCCTCCAACAGTACCAGGTCCTCTTTTCGCGTCAGCGGGCAACAGAGGTCCCACAGCCCTTAATCAATCCGTCTTCGCAATTGGCCAGCAACAACGTGCCAACAATCTTTATGCCGAAACTACCTTTGTCTGCCCTTCCTACTGGACAGCTTCCGCTTTTCATCAAAGTTGGAAATATGAGTATAGTGTCCCACCATCCCAGCATGGAAATGACTTAGATGCTTACTACGCCGTAAACCGAACATATCTTGGATACGGAACTCTATCACCTGGATTCCGGACAGCGGTACAGAAAATCTGGGGTAGATTTATTGTACATGATGATCCTACACTACCTCAAGATGTCATAACATCAATTACAACCCTTGGAAACGGTACGCAAACAGGTGATGATATATCTGCAGCTGGCACGGGGAAATGGCCACAATGGAAGACGAGTGGACATGAAGCATATCAGATGCTAAGGTTAAATATGACGGGAGGAGAAGCTACAAAGGTTTTATGGACTAGTGCGGATGGAGGGGTTAAATTTAATGTAACGGAAAATACGGGATCGGGTGTGAAAGCTGATTTGGCGATTGTGAATGCTTATAATTGGGAAGGTGGAAGGGGTGCAAGATGTGATTTTTGGGCGGGGATTGGTAGTGAAGTGCCTGAATGAGGGGAAGTGAGAGATGGTCTGGGAAGGAATGATGAAATAGGATTTTGAGGTGTTCCGAATAGAGACTTGGATCTTCTTCGTGAATTCCTACTCTGCATTTATCTAAGATCATATCTATTCTTTTTTATACTCATATAGATATAGCTATAGGAAATTCAATAAAACGAGAGTTCTAAAATAAAGTAAGATCTTAATACAGCTGGATAATACAAATATCAATATCCATATCCATATCTATAAAACTATTCCCTTGACTTCAGTAGAATAGTTATAAGAGTATATACTATGCTCTTGCAAGCACAATTCTTCAAATATAGACTTACATTATAGCATCTTTGAAATTCACAAGATTATAACAACTTTTGTAGATATATATATATATAATAGTCTAAGGAGGTAGTAATTCATTTTAATATTAATACCAGGTGCTTGTATAGACTTCTAGAGTTTATTATTTAATTTAAATTAATTGTTGAATTATTATTTTTTATAATATTCTATTGATATGATAATATAAATAAAATGAGATGAAATAAGTTCAGATTATATAATACTATATTCTATATTAAATAATCTAAATGTTACGAGGTTTGCCGTCTAGGTCACGTGGAAGTGCTCTAGGCTCTCGAGGTGGTTTATAACTAGGCGTCAAGCAGGGACTTAAAGTAATGACAATAATGCAATTCGTAACTAATAGTAGAGTATACTAAATGATTGATCTTGAGCACGAAGCTCTATACAAAGGAAATCCATCTTGATTATATAGACCTTCGTGCCTCGTTAAAAACCGATGGCTACAAACCCGACAATTCGATCACCGCAAAACCGATCTCGATTTGTCGGTTTCTTGATCATATGATCAAGAACGTGACCTATGTTACTGTCCGACGTAACACTAAATAATATAAAAATAATTATATATAATCTAATATACCTAGGTAAAGTCACCTCAATTTAAAATACTATTATATTATTGAAATAAAACAAAATATAATAAAACAACTCAAAGTAATAAACTATTGAATAAATAAAAGTTTAATTATCTAGTATTTATATATATATATATATATATTGTAAGATCATTTCTTTTATTTATAATAATTATAAAGATGATGAGGATGGGTGTGACGGAAACCCTGCTTTCCTCCCACCCTTATTATATAAGAAACCTCAGGTACATTAACCATGTCCACACATGATACGATTACTCGGGATTAGTATACGATTTAGGTGGCCTGAGGATCAGATCCGGACAAGTACTAGGTATCAATGGTTATCGGTAAAGTAAGATCATTGGAGGGATAAATATGACTTCTTTTTGCCTAGCCATTGCGGCTAGGCCATTCATTTGTGTGTATATAGAGTAGCTATCCCCATCTACAGGTGCTCTTCACCTGTAGATTCTAAGTTAAATACAATTGCTGGTCTATAAACACTCTTTTGATCACAATAGAGAAGAAGTATATATTAAAATAAATTATATTAAAATAAATTATATTAAAATAAATTATATTAAAATAAATTATATTAAAATAAATTATATTAAAATAAATTATATTAAAATAAATTATATTAAAATAAATTATATTAAAATAAATTATATTAAAATAAATTATATTAAAATAAATTATATTAAAATAAATTATATTAAAATAAATTATATTAAAATAAATTATATATAATTAAATAATAAAGACTCTTTTTAGATTTATTTATCAATTTAACTATAAGAATATCTCAAGATTATAATATTTCTAAAAGAAGATATTAATTGAAATTAAATGTTTAATATTTGATAATTAATATTATATGATATTATTGATTAATTATTGACTCAGGATATTAAAACACTATTTTCCCAGCGAATTTAAATACACTAATCAGTCCCATAACTCAAGAGTCTTACGAGTCTTGCTCGTAAGCACTTTCCCTATAAATAGAATCTCTCATAATTACCAACAGTGGTATACCTGTATCCCTACCAGAGAATCCAGTAAACAATCTATAAGAGATGACGAGCGAATACAAAATACAAAATACAAAATACAAAATACAAAATACAAAATACAAAATACAAAATACAAAATACAAAATACAAAATACAAAATACAAAATACAAAATACAAAATACAAAATACAAAATACAAAATACAAAATACAAAATACAAAATACAAAATACAAAATACAAAATACAAAATACAAAATACACATCTATCATCTCATCTAATACATCAGAATACTCAACTTACTATAATCATATTTCCGAGTACAGATATTATGAAAATTAGGAATAAGAGAAGCAAGGAATTTCATTATTCATACAAATCACCATATTTAAATAGATGCATAAAGATGAGCTACTTGCTTCATTTCCCGCAAAGAAAGGATACACTGCATAGCCTGGGAAAAACCTACTATCACGCCACAAAGAAGGGATGAGGAGTCCATTTAGAAGTTAGTAAGTTAGTGAAACTCTATAGGAGAGGGTATTCGTAATGGGTTTGCCACGCGGAAGGGGCTGATGGGTTGATAGATGGATGGATGGATTGGTGGCGTGGTATGGCATGGCATGGTATGGCGTGGCATGGCTATGAAAATCCCAACCTGGATTTTAGACTTGCGCGATGTGACTGTGACTATGACTGTGACGGTGACTTGAAAGGGAGAAGATATTCATGGGAGGAAGAAGTATGAAACTAGCAAGTAAGATCTTACATATCGCCACATAGAGATGTTTAGTATGAAAGGGGGCTTATGGAAGAAGCATATTGGTTGAAACAGGAAGATGATGTATTTGTAAGACTAGAGAGTTATACTACATGCATGTGAAAGCAAGTTCCAATTCCAATGAAATCTCATTATTTCCGTAGGTACTAGATTCCACTTGAAAACAATGAGATGGAGAACTAGAGAATGAGGAATATGTGTGCGAAGCAATATTTCAAAAATTCGTTTAAACTCTCAACATAGAAGAAAACACAGCAACAGTACGCAAGACACGCTCTGACATCTCGTGCCGTCCCTTGTTTCCGCTCTCCAAGACTCGATTCCAAATAAACGCCTTGATACCGTCTGAAGTATATTGAGGTAAGATATCCCGCGTGCCTTATTTGGAAGGACTTGCGAATGTGACGAGCTGACAATTTGTATACATAGCAAGCTACAAGGATGCGTAAGTAGCATTGACAATGACAGACACCTTCAAGCCGCGGTGAAGAAGCTAATAAGCTCCATTGCTGAGAAATTCATCATGTTCCTCATCGACGATGTGCAGCAACTGCCGGACGTGCAGCTTGGAGGGAACAAGGATGGAGAATATTAGAGTAGAATTCATGCTGTGCAAGGTTTGAATCGTGTGACTCCCCACTTAGATGCGCCATCTGGCATGGTTAGTCTGGGAACTTGATTATATGGAGAATTCATGCAAGTTCTTGCTCGCTCTTGGTCTTTTGATAAAGTTGGATGAGGATAAGATGTTGTTTTGGTAATTAGACGAAGTGTATTTCTCCCGGGCGAGAATCTTTATCAATGTAACAGAAGAAATATGAATGGGGAGAGTACATGAGATGCTATAGAATGGGGGTCTGTGGTGAAGGGAAGAAAGAATTGTCGAGGAAGTAGAGAGGGGCATTTGCGTACCGGCGAACTACTCAGGCGGGTCTTTGTGAACGGTTGTGATAGCAAAGGCAAATGCCGGCGACCTTGAACAAGACTGCTATGCTATGATATTTCGGAGATTCGAATTTCAAGTTTCCAATAATATTTAAATTAAAATCAATAGAAATATAGCGAATTTTGAAATGAATCCTTAGCAGGCTCATTTAGTTTTGAGCTTCCAACCTTTGAAAATGAATTTATATCGAAATTCCACCTTGGTGAAGCAAGAATTCATCACTCACCAAAAACCCGCCTGAGTACTCCGTAGAGTAGATAGTGGAGAATGCGGACCCACCCATAAAGGCGGAGTGGAGTGAAATGTCTAGGATGAATGGAATAATCCGAAGTACCCGCTAAAGCCTCATTTGGCTTAAAACGTTGAAACTCAATAAATGACAGCGGTTCCGTTGGCGCGCTTTGACGGCCACAAAAGTCTAGAGTTTCGGCTCTTTCCCATTTCATTTCTTGGGTTAATGGATATCAGAGGACGATGGGGCAATTCTTGCTTTATGCTTATACTGATGCTTATAAAGAGTTCGGTGAAATAAGCTGGTATTCTGTTTCCTGTTCATGGCAAAGTTTTGTGCAATAGACTTTGATTAACGCAAGCAAGTGGACCCCTCTTACGGAAGAGATATTAAAATTCTTCGATGCGATCCGAAAATGGTACGATAACAATACCGACTAAGGTTTATTGTCCGGTTCTGGGTGATCGGAGTTAATGGCTAGACGAAAAACAGAATGGGAGTGGGAGAGATGTGAAGCAAGGTTATCTCCAGTTTTTCAGCAATGACTTATAACGTCGGTGAATGCGATTGGATTGAAAGACTGGTAACATTTAAAACATGGAAGGAATATACATGATGGATATGTTCCAACTTCTCACTTGAGGAGTAACATTTTGTCCACTATTTTAAGGGTCCTTTTACGAAACAGAGCACAGTGAAGTGAAAACAAAGACTGGCCAGTATAAAACTGCCCCATACATTTTTATCTCTTCATATAATGTAAGACGTGGGATGGTCTGGAACACCGACCGCGTTTTCCGCGATATCCAGCATAATGGATTATTCCTGGGCGAAAGACTGAAAGCAAAGCCAGAATACTTCGCCGACGTTAGATACTGCCATGTACTTTGTTCTTTTAGCGCGACCACTATGGCTTGCGCGAGTAAGAAAATTCAAGGATTCTCCAGCTCGCAAAGGATCATCTCCAAGGCCAAGAGATATATTTTGCTGGGGACTGTCCTGTGCCTTTTCTCCTTGGAAAAATCGGCAAAATCTAATCAGTTTGTGTGTCCAACGTAAGAGCCATATCAACAAAGTGTGAGTGACAAGTTGGAATTCAGATAATCTCCAAGATGATGCAATGGGATCGTCACGGATCGCGTTCTAGCCACGTTTCTGCAGTGAGATATTTAAGACGAACCGAAAGGGTTGAAGTTTGCGAATTGAGATTGAAATGTCCAAACGTGCAGATTTTGAGAAGCTCTATCAAATTCGAACCTTACTTTAGCTGATGCATGCAGGAGACCCGTCATTTAAATCACAACATGCATCAGTACGGAGTCAAAAAGTTCATGAAAATAGAAGCGAGAAATAAAATTTTGTATGGTAGATCCGGAGCGACCTAGCGCTCAATAACCCCTGTGCTGTCTCTTCCCCAACCCTGAAATTTTTGGATGGAGAATCCGCCCTGTCTCATAATCAACCAGTCAGAGATGGAGAGTAGAGACGAACCTGTTAGCACCAACGAAGAGCAACTAAACCGGTCTTGGTAGAAGATGATACTGCCCTGCCTCATGAACTTTTGTTTGACCCGCCTCTGCCTATACTATAGAACAACTGATTCCTTTTTTGTGGCAAAAGGTGGCTTGTTGACCACTTACCTAGCTGCACTTGCTTTTTGAACAAACTGGAAATCTGAGCTTGGAGCAAAATCGATGGCTACATTATCAGTATCCCCGCGGTGAAGTTATCCAAGGAGACTTGTCGCACGATGAGATCACTCTCGAGACCATATCTGTGAATGTGATGCTCACGCCCTAAGGGTTCGTGCATCACAACAAGAGAGGTTGATTACACCGAGATGAGCATGTGAGATGAAATGGGTTGTTTGATGGCGATATTTGCATGGATGGCAATCAGATGTTTGGGAACTTGGAAGGGTTTCAATTGGGAGAATTATGCAACCGCACAGACCTTGAGATGTCGACGTAAGAAAACTATTTGATGTTGGGATACGATTGTGATGTTGAGAATAATGAGGGGGAACGTCTGTGCGAAAGCCTTTATGGACCAGGGAGCCTTCAGGTTTTTGGTGTAACTTGCGAAGTAAGGTTACGGAGAACTAGTAGTGAAAGTTTTAGGCGTGACAAACATCTTTTCCTGTTTTTGATTCGGCACCAAATGGAGAATTCGGGAGTCTGTGCAAAAATTTAGGGATGATTTGATACCGGATGAGACTCACGAGAAGGTTAGAACTCCTTAGTACTTTAAAATAGACAAGGGAGAGGGAAGTGTTCTTGCTAGTTACGTACCGATAAGGTAGGTAGGTTGGCTATGTTAAGGGGGTCGGAAGGAATTAGCAGTGCCGAGATGTGTGATGGACGTATGGTATGTGAGTTGGTGTGTGACACTATATTGTGATCCTATATATGATTTTGTATTGTGATTTTATATGTGATTGTATATAAATGAATACATGTATAAAATAAACAAACACTCATAATCCTCTACCCAAACAATGAATATATCGGTTCACATCGGGTTTATACCCCTTGTTAATCCTTGATAATGCAAGTAATTGAGATTGTTGATGCAAATAAGATTTTAATGATTGGGATGAATTAGGTATGTTTCGATTCGAGTTCGTCTACTCTGACAGGAGATGATGAACAGAACTAGTACAGACAGAGTAGATGATCTAGACGAATAGAAAGAACTACCTACCTAGGGATATATCTCATTTTCGCACAGACACTTTTATCGGTATTAAGGTAGTCTTACGTACCTCTCTCTGTACGACAGAAGATAAGATAGAGCGAGAAGCAGAATTGTAGACGCAACTTATTCTATTACTTACTACTCTATCCTCGACATACTTTACCACTTACAGCCACAACTACTTTAAATACATTCATTTATATTAATCCAAATACCAATTTGTTGCGGGGTATGGTATTGCGCGCTTCTAACCCTTTAATCCCTCCCAACTTCTTATCCCTTCCGCCCCCGTTCCGAACCGGTAAGAAAATACTCCACAAATTTCCATTTTCCGTATTTCTTAACGAAAGTTGTAATTTGATCCTTATTAATCTATATTTAACCATCTCAGTATTCGGAGGACCTTCTACAATCGGTATTTTACAATTTGACGTTTGAATTCATTGATCAGCTTCTGGTCGGTTTCAAGATCATCAGACTCATTCGCTTTCCTTACAAACGAATGAAACGCCCCCCGTGGATAGCCACCCATTGCAAAGAATCAAAAGGATTGATGGGAACATGCAGCTAGCCGTCCGTGAACTTGCCAGGGACGAAAATATCCACCGGCAAACATGGTAACAGATAAGGTAAGATCTACAAAATCTACAATCCTTTGCCTGATTTCACGCGACAGCCATATTCAGTGAGCAACGAATACTCAACCTTGGCAAAAATATATCAAAATCCTACCGTGCTCGACGTCTATCTGTATATTTCGACATCTAATTTAACCCTGCCTTCATTACTCCATTCATTCAGACCCAACAGATAGCTCTAGTTAACATTATCGTGTCAGCACTCGTACTCACTGAAAGCGGATCGGCCCACTCAAATATACATCCATTTTCATGAAAGCTTCAAATTCCACCCCATAATTCTCGCAAGGTTAGACTTATTGGGTTGAATTCCCAGGTACTGGACGATTGATCCCAACCCAAAGTACCGGGTCTAATGAGGCCTGGGATAAATAAGCACTATGTGACATAGTTCATTAGATGGGTAACATCGTGAGAACGTCACTTGCACTACACTCGTAGTATGGGACAGATATCGAGCCCCGGCAATAGAGATGTTTGATGAGATTCGCCCAGCATTTCGCAACCAATCTCACGCGGAGTGGGTAAAGTTGGCGTCTCACGAATCTCTCCCTTCCCCCATATGAGATTCAATATTTGTGTTTGTTACTAATGTCAATGCACACGCACCCAAGACTGGCTGAGGTGCGAATGTGTGAATCAGAATGATAAACCACGCTAAAAGCTTGTTTCTGCATTTCTACATTTTTATCGTTATGTTTTTATACATTCGCCACAAGTTGTGGCAATCACCAACTCACGACCATGCGTCGCGAATTTCTCCTGTTTGCCATTCTTCAGCATCATATCTAAACTCGGATAGATTGGGAAACCTAAATTCGTACTGGTTTGTCACTATTTTGGTCCGGAAGCAGCGTCCTGCGTAGCTTTCACGCTTTAACTCCAACCATTGGAGAGATTTTGCAAGGCTTTCAGCCCTCGACAAGGGTTTATGAAATGCAACACAAGTCAGTAATCTGACACGGCCATATCCGTACAAGAACCATTTCCACGGGATCAAGCCGTCCGCCCCGGGCTTAGCATTGCATATTGTATTGGCTCGTTATCTTCTCCCCCATGGCATATCACAAATCTTTTGCTCTGACCCAGCGCAAGATTTACCGTCTAGATGGGCGTATGTTGTGTGCAGTTTGCTCAACCACACATATAAGGCTGTTTAGATTCGAACAAAATGCCCCTCTTTATGATCTTGAAATCAACAATTGTCTCGATCGTTTGCTACTGTTTGCTCCACTATTCCAAATTAAGTCACCATGCATGCACGGATCCAACTTGGCTTCGCGGCGAGCTTTCCGGGCTCCGCTAATTTATCACACTTTTTATCACAATCTGATATGTCTGTATTTCGCATTTCCCGCTAGCTAGAAAAAATCTACTTGCTCCGGGATTAAATATGCATACCGATCCGATAATATGAGCCGATCGGACTCTAGGCTGAGCCAGATCTGACCCAGCCAAAGTAATGGGCGTTTCGTCATAATTCATACCCTCAAAATGTGGCCCAAAAAGTTCGGTTCATTAAGCCACTTTAAGCAAGGTCAGGTTCACACCCCCCCACGAGATCTCCAGGCCTTATCCTTCCCGTCTGTACATGGATTCATCCCAGCTCTTGTGTCTTCACTCCCTTGAGATCTGCTCGGTGCCTCGCAAGATCCTTGAACCATGGGGTCTTTGACCTCTTTCGAAAGATACTGGTAGCAGATCCCTTTCATCAGAAGCCTCAGCGCCACATTGCAGTAGGTTCGCAAGGTAGCCAATGTTGCCTCGAATTCTGACGTGCTGGCACCCTTCTTGGATGGGTGCCCATATTGGCTTCCGATTGGCTATCACTATATCTACAATGTCTTCCAACTTGCAGCCTTGGGCTGGTTCTGGTACGGACCCTTGCCAGTGCATTCACCCTTTTTGGGATATCTCTCTTCTATGGGGAACATTTCAGCAGTAGACGGTGATGATACTAGTGGATTGCCAGCCTTGTCTGTTTTTGTTTCACTATTGTTGCCTCCCCGGTCAACGTCACTTTATTGGTATAGTTAGAAGTGTTGCTATCGCTCTGTACAACCTGACCTACCGGCAGTTCTACTAGTAGTGGGGAACAAGTCTATATGAATCAATCTTCCTCCATTATATTTAAGGTTGGAAAAGACTCATCCAGATCATCATCATAAAACGTATTTACTTTCAAACAACCCAAAGACCTCGCGCACATACAAGTACTGAACATATTCTCTTCTTGAATACATACTCTAGTTCAACGGCTTCAATCTCTTCGATTGATCTCAGTGCATATTTGTCTCAATAATCTCACGTTACTCTCCAACGTTTGAATCAACCAAGCAAAGCATCAACTTCAGTTTCATCTTTTCACTCTCAGCAACCCGAATTCTTGTAATACTCAAGGCAAACCGGCAAAATGGTAATGGTACCACATACACTAGGCACTACCTGGCGCTGGAGTGAGGATTCCCACATTCCATTTTGCTATATGGATGCATCAGGCATGGTCCAGTCTCTTGACCCCCAGACAACTAGCTCGGCAGGTTTAGGAAGAACAATCATCGCCCCTCCTATCATGCCAATGGACTCTTTCTCCGGTAGCTCTTTCATCATGAATGGTCATCAACAAATTTCACAAAATGCATACGGTTTCACATCTTATACCAACGGAAGTTCAACCAATCTCATTACCACTTATGGAGCCAATTATATTCAGCCACGATCTCTTCCTCCTATGATACAATCCTTTTCTCATTCGCCAAAAGAGGTAATCTTTGACGAAAGCCATCGCCAAGGATTCATTGAAAGCACATCTCCAAGCCAAAGTCCTCAGATTAAACCAGAACCTTCATGGAAGAAAACTACAAGATGTCAGCCAGAGAAAACCCCGAAAGCATCACGGCCTAACAAAACCATAAATCCTCCTCCCCTTACCGGCTCTAATGAGGCACATATCGGAACCACAGCAGTAGATCGACTTATGAAGATCATTCAAGACAAGGCAAGAACATCAAAATCACCATCACCCTCTGTTTCTGAAAGTACATCTGTGGTAGGTTCACCCCACACACTCTATAATCACGACTACATCTCTGCATATGAGGAAGAAAAGCAAATTCTCACATCTGTTAAGGTCCATGATGAATCAGGACGCTCCAAAGTACCAAAGAAAAGGTTTCGATGCACCTTTGAAGGCTGCATGTCGAGATTTTTACAGAAAGCACAGTTGGAAATTCATGTCCGTAAACATACCGGTGAGACACCATATGTAAGTAATCAAACTCCATCACGCGTTTAACGGATCTTTTGAACTAACAGAGTGTACTCAGGTATGTGGATATGTTCAATGCAAGCGAAGATTCACACAACAAGGCAATCTCAATGTAAGAGCTCTTCACCTTTCATACTCCATCAAATTTTATGCTAATCAAAAATCTTCTCAGATCCACCTAGATCGTCACCGTGGTATACGACGCTACCCTTGTGAGATATGCGGAAAACGTTTCGGACAACGAAGCAATTTAGATGCTCATAGAATCGTTCATACGGGCATCAAACCCTTTTCATGCAAACTCGATGGATGTGGGAAAAGATTCACACAAAGGGGTAACCTCAAGGTACGTTACCACTTTAACTTTCTTTTTACTTTTCCATCAATGTTCTGTTCACATAGAGTAAGAACTAACATTTTCTTTTCAGTCCCACCACAACAAATTTCATCGTCAGACCCTCGAAAGACTTCAATCCCAACTCATCAACGGTGAAATCGACATCGAAGCCAACAAAGAATTTTGGTCATACTTCTTCAACCTCTACAAGAACAGCAACAAGGGAATTAAAGGACGAGGAAAAGATCGAAACATCAGTCCTCGAAGTCGTTCTTCCAGGAATAGTCATGCAAGTACTGGTTCCAATGCCAGTCGATACGTCTCGCCAAACATGCGAAGTTGTCATGGCTTGATGGATACTGATGGTGCATCATACAGCGATGCAACGATGTACGATTCCGATGGCAGTATGCGAAGTCACACGAGTGGAAGTATGAGTGTGAATAGTAGTTTTAGTTCTGGGACTACTGATTCTACGGCTTCTACCTATTCGAATTTCTCAGATGATATCGCGACGGATTATCAGGATCCGCATGCTAGGAATGTAAGAGGGGATTTGGCTTTTCGTGGTAGGTTGTATTAATCTATCATGGTGAGGTCAGAAGGAAAAGGAAAGGCGTGAGGAGATGGAAGAAGAACTTACATATAACCTACGTACAAAGTTACGAGAGATGTCGAGATGAAAATGAGCACACAAGACGAAAATACGGAAATGAAAGGACGAACGGCGGTTTTACATTCTTTTATTATCATTATCATCATCATCACCATTATCACACAACACAGCACAACACCGAACACGAATATCCCACCCAAAAAAGCGAGATGTATTTTTATTGAACGCATCAATCTATTCCTCACTCATCAATCATCATGAGACTCGATGATTGATAGATCTCTTTTCTCTCATCTCTCTATCCGCACACTCATTTTTGTTTGTCGTTTTCCATTTCTTATTTTCTTTTTATTTCCTTTTCACCTATATTTATATTTCCCATTTCCCTTTTCATATCTCTTTCTCTTTTCATTTTTATTATCAACCAATGGAGGATTTAGTCAACCAAAAATCATTATCATATCATATCATATCATATCAAATCATGTATTCCTTAATAACGGCCAGAAACTTTGTGCAGTTTTTTTGTGTTTGGAGGAGAAAGAGGAAGCGATATCGATGATGAAGCGGGAGAAAGGAAGGAAAGGAGTGAGGGAGGTAATATTGTTATTGTTACTGTTTTTGATTTTATTTTAAGGGTGTTATTTTGGATATAATTTATGGAAGGGGGAGATTCGGGGCTGGGTGGAAAGGATGATGGGGGAAAATGTGTGGTTGGGGGATGGAATGATGGGCGGTACTGTATGTGTGTATTGAGCGGAAAATGCCTAACTAATAGTTTTTGTGATTATTGATCATTAGTAGTCAATAGGATATAGGCAAGGCAATAAATAGGCATTAGGCAATAGATAGTATAGTGTGTAGAAATATATTTATATTTATTTATTTGTTTATGATTATCTTTGTGATTCATTCATTCATTCATTTATTGATTCATTCCTACTTACTCGAAATAAGGTCTCACAATTACAATCAAAAATCTAGAAAAAACTATGTTATTATTAAATAATCTGACTCTAAAAGATCCCTTACATCATATCATATCATATTGTATCACATCAGCTTCTTTCAACTTTTTCCCTTCACTGTAAAATTGATCAAATACAATTACCGGAGTAAGATCTCACCTACCTAATTACCTACATGAAAAAGATGAGGAAGCTTAGACATGTATGTATATATGTATTTAAGTACATATATACTAGATAAATATATAACATAACCATCCCTTTTTATTTCAGTAATAGATAGAATGATTAGAAGGAAGGAAGGAGAAAACAAGCATAACCATAACCATAAAAATCCCCATCACGCATCTATCCCATCCATTAGGAATTCCTCTTCTTCTTTCTTTTCCACCTCCCTCTTCATAGAAAGCCCTTCCATCCTCCATCCCCCATCTCCCATCTCCCACAACCATAACCACAACCATAAAAAAACAATCTATATAATTAACTATTAAATTGAAACCCCTCCCCTCCCCTCCCACCACACCACTAACGGAAAACCCCGCCTATAGACTATTAGACAGAATAAATCTTAATTCATAAACCCTAAATCTTAAATCTAGACCTAATCATTTTACCAGCGGCTTTTGCGGGGGAACTCTAGAACTCTCGAATTCTAGAATTAGGAAACTAGGGATGTAATATGTATGTAAGTATATGTATGTATGTATGTATGTATATACGCATATATAAAAAGGGATAAAAAAACAATACATAAATAAATGAACAAGTAGGTAGGTAAATATTCGAGTATACATATACAAGCAAGAGAGAGAAGTGTCTAGATTTTTTCTTATATTATATTATTCTGTAATTATACTAATGTGAGTTTACTAGTAAATACCTGATAATACTAACAATGTTAATGTAGTACCCCTAAAATAGTATATCATATATGTAGGTTAAATTATATACATATATACGTAGTATCCGACGTAATATTTCAAGCATGAGTGCTGATCATTTATTTACTGTGCTAGTGGATGGATGGTAGGGTAGGGTAGGTAAGTACCAGTTACCCAGTTACTAGGTAGGTAGGAATTGGTAACTAGGTAGGAACTAGGTAATGTGGGGAAGGAGTTCTCTGGGCAAAGTAAGTGTTCATGTACTGTATATCTGTACCGTATGTATGTATGTATGTATGTATGTATGTATGTATGTATGTATGTATGTATGTATGTATGTATGTATGTATGTATGTATGTATGTATGTATGTATGTATGTATGTATGTACCTAGTATGTATATATGTAAGTGATTTTGCATTACTAGCTAACTACCAGGTAGGTATACATAGCCAAATAGCCAAGTAACTAAATACCTACCTAAGCTATCCATCTAGACCATCACTACCTCTAAAATAACAAAGCCCAGCACCAAGCTACAGAAATGGAAAAAATATCCCAAACAAAAAAAAACCCCATACCCGCGATATGCGCAATTCTTCAAAAACACCTAGTAGATACTTACTTACCTACATACTTACTGGTGTATCTACCTATCTACCCGAAATGGGAAAAGATGAGATGGAAAAGATAGGATGGATGATAGAGTTGCACAGACAGACAGACGGCGTTTGCTTAACTAGGTATTTATCTAGTGGTTGAGTAGATAGTACTCTGTATAGGTACTTATCTACTAGGTACCTAGCTAGTAGGTACATACGGAGGATAAATTTGTGAAGCCGTCCCGTCTGTCTGGATGGGTAGATGGACGGGAGGAGCCTAGATGTTATGGTTGTTAGTGTTAATGTCAATGTCAATGTCAAAATTTACTCCGTGTGGTGTGGTGGGATTTGTTGGTAAATGAATTTCATTCATGGGGTTGAGCATTTGAAGAAGGTTATTTGGAGTTTATTACTATGTAAGCTTAGTTTATTATGTGGAGGTTATCCATACCTAGATACCTAATAGAACATTGGAAATATGGAAATACCTACTCGAGTACTATGTATAGAGAAAATATCGAGATAAGTACGTAGGTATTTGTAATGATATTATTTTATCGAATATCTATTACATTTTATTGGTTTCTACTACCTTATTGGATGAAATAGAAATTCGACTGAAATGAGGCAGACAGGATCGTCGTGATGGAGGGGTGAGTGCGTAACATCCTTGATGCAGATCGGCTGGGGTTATTCCTTGTCACGTGCATTGTACTGTTGTATTGCATATGTCAGGTAGATGTCAATTTGGAAGGTAACATTAAGGATTGCTTCCGGAAAATCTTGGAATTCTTGAAAATCTCTAGGGATCTACATTGCATGCGGGCCGATGATCAAACTGATTTTTTTTGTTCCGAGACAAACAACTTCTCCTCGGATGGAAAAAAGTTGATATCATTAGATAACCAAAACGATATACGGAAGTAGCTTAACCAGGATACTTTGTTAAAATCTCGATGCCTCAATAAAAAATAGGGGTCCTGGAACTTCCTTGCCAATATGCATGCACGCTTGAACGTATCCAATAATTCAATTCCCCAGAAAATATGATATATCATAGCTCCTCCTAACCAAAAGCAAGCCCCAACCCCACAACCCGGTATCCATCAGTTCAGCCCCCGTGAAGAGTCGATACAAATAATATATTATCATTAGGTTGTAATACGTATGAGGCTTCGCCTTCTAATTCCCAATCGGCATCATTGATTAATACGAGGATGCCTGGACGCCTGGAGAAATAAATGTGATAGTTAGTATGTATAGTATGGCTGTTTAGTAAACATGTATACGGGGAGATGAAAATAGTGGCCGGTGCATGTAAGGTAAGAGAGGTAAGGTCAACAACAACGAAGTTTGAGTTCGCGCATAATAATTGCACGACATGACAGTTTGAAAACGGTGAGAGAAGAGAAAGACGGGAAGAGTCGCAAGTCAGATCAAATTTAGGGGTATAGCTTGAGAGGTAAGTATAGCATAACACTATTATCATCCACAATATATTTAGAAACGTGGTGCACACTAATGAACCAGCATCTCAAAGACATGAGGAAATGAGAAAAACTCGGCGGTGGGCTTACACGTGATCATCGAGAATAAACATGTCTTTTCTTGAATCCTGCATGATTTCCTCACAAAGATAATTCACCAACCAGCCGACGGTGACTGGATCGCCCTTGGAATCTGTTTGGGGAATTGTAAGTTTGTGGTTTCGTTGGTCGGAAAATAACATCTCGAGACCGCCACTGTTGGAGTTTGTTAGTAAATTGTTTTGGAGGGATTTTGCTTGGAAAGAATGACTTACGTGAATTCTACCATGATATTAAGGGTTTCTGTCGTCATGTTGAGGGTTTCGTGGGGTTCTCTTGGAGTTTGATATTGAGGTGATGATTTGGAGGGAAGTTTGGGATGATTAAGGTTAGAGAAATGATGCTCACAGCCTCGCTTATTTTTACACTTGCACTTTGGACTGTGGCATTTGTTCTCAATGAGAATCAATTTTAAGATGAAAATAATTGTAGAAGTGCTCAATTTTCTTCAATAAATTATTTTCAAAAATACTCATGAATCCAGTGCTTTATTTTATGTCAAGATCGAGAATTTTCGACGAGAGTTGGATTTTTGATCAATTTTCAAAGCTCCTAGTGGTGACATGACTCTTACCAAAAGTTCTAGTAAAAATGTGTAGAAACAATTTTCACGACACCAACAAATATTTCAAGAATAACAATCATTGAAATCACCACGAACTTCCGACTGAAATTATCTAGATCTCGTATCTGGATATGAACCCATCATATTTTTAATAAAAACCTCTTTTCTCTCGTGCGCACTTTGATGAAACAATATGAATAAAATTACTTCAGAGTATCTTGCGGCAGGTGGCAATAGACATCCTTCTGCTGCTGATTGGGATGAATCAGGACTTCTAGCCTATGGAACTGATAGAAATATCGCATTATGGTATCCTGGAGTAAGTTTTTAACATCTACGATGAATCTTCCAGTCATGAGGATAGATGACTCAAGTCTGCAATGGATGACCAGCATGCTGATGATTGTTTAGAATGAATCTTCCAGAGGAGTTTTTGAACTTCTCAGTGCTCATACCGATACGGTTAATGTCGTGAAATTTATCCCTAAATCACATGGTCTCATACTTAGTGGATCGGTCGATAAGACGGTGAGGATTTGGAAACAGGATGATGTATCAAAGAGTTATACTTGTATTCAAACTATTACCGATCATCAGAGCACGATCAATTGTATAGCTGTCACAGAAGGCTCGAAAATCTTTGCTACAGGTTCGGCGGATGCCGTTGTCAAGATTTGGAAACTCGGTGATGATAATGTTGCAAGTTTGCAGCAATCTATCACGATTACTCCGCGATTATTTCCATTGGCATTGGCTTTGAGCCCTTTGACTGGGGCATCGGATTCTTTACTTCTTGCAGTAGCAGGCACAAAAGATATCATTCAGCTTCACGTGCTCGATGCTCAAGCGGGATCAGAATTTAAATATAAGGCTACATTATCTGGACACGAAGGATGGATCAGATCATTAGAATTCACACCAGAGAGCGATAGTCCAACGAGTGATTTACTCCTCTCATCAGCCAGTCAGGATAAATATATCCGATTGTGGAGAATTCATCAAGGCAAAGAATTACCCGCCGCAGCAACCGCAGCCGATCCAACATTCGGAGCATTCATGCCAGGAAAATCTCTATCCAACAAAGCGCATCGATTTCAAGCCCAAGAATTAGATTTCTCCGCCACATTCGAAGCGCTTCTCCTCGGACATGAAGATTGGATCTACAGCACACGATGGCTGAAGCCCACTCTATCTTCCAACCAAAAACCACAACTTCTCTCCTCCTCAGCCGATAATTCTCTCGCCATCTGGGAGCCCGATACTCACACAGGTGTCTGGGTAACCGTCGCACGCCTCGGAGAAATCAGTGCGGAAAAAGGATCTACCACCGCCACCGGTAGCACGGGAGGTTTCTGGACCGGTCTCTGGTCACCCAATGGCTCAACCGTCGTGTGTCTCGGACGAACTGGTAGTTGGCGTCTCTGGAACCATGATGCATCTTCTGATCGTTGGGCCCAGAGTCCGGCTATTACCGGTCATGTGAAAGCGGTGATGGGAATCGCGTGGTCGAAGGATGGAAGTTATTTGCTATCGACCAGTACGGATCAAACGACTAGGTTGCACGCGCAGTGGAAGAGAGATGGAAAAGTTAGTTGGCATGAGATGGCTAGACCACAAATTCATGGTTATGATTTGAATTGTATTGATTCGCTTGGAGAGACACAATTCGTATCCGGCGCCGACGAGAAATTACTTCGAGTATTCAATGAGCCCAGAGCAGTCGCCACACTACTCAACAAACTCTGTGGAATCGGCAGCGAGAATATCAACAACATGCCCGACGCAGCAAATATGCCCGTACTAGGACTATCCAACAAAGCCATCGAAGCCATCAGCGACGAGCAAACCATCGAAAATCCCAACGACCACAATCGCGAAGCCATAGACCCCGCCTCCATCGTCCACAAATCCACACTAGACCTCTCACACCCACCGCTCGAAGATCATCTCTCCCGCCACACACTGTGGCCCGAAACCGAAAAACTCTACGGACACGGCTATGAGATTTCCGCACTAGCCACCTCCCACGATGGCAGCATCATCGCCACAGCCTGCAAAGCCAGCTCCATCGAGCACGCCGTAATCCGACTCTTCGAAACCCAAGAATGGCACGAGATAAAACCACCTCTTACAGCTCACTCCCTCACAGCCGCTCGATTACGTTTCTCACACGATGACAAGTATTTACTTTCTGTGGGACGCGATCGTCAATGGGTTGTATTTCAACGAGATGAGCGAGATCCGCTTGTGTATAAATTGGTTGAGAGGAATCTGAAGGGTCATTCGAGGATGATTCTTGATGCTGCTTGGGCTCCTACTTTCTCTTCATCTTCATCTGTATCGTCATCTACATCTACATCAACATCTACAAATTCCCCCATCTTCGCAACAGCAGGAAGAGACAAACAAGTTAAAATCTGGAGTCGCGACAGCAAAACCCAAGCCCAAACTGACACCAATATCGAAACAGAAACAGAGAATAATGCCGGAGGATTCACATGCAAAGCCACAATACCAAGCGACGCCCCCATAACCGCGCTTGATTTCCTCGACAAGATCATAGGAAACGCTATATATTTAGCTATAGGTACTGAACTGGGAAGATTTAATATCTATCGTGTTACTGTAGATGGTGATGCTATTACTGTTACTGAGGTTTTATTGGATATGGGGTATGCTTTTATTCTTCTTCTCCTTCCCCTTTTACTTTTTCTTTTGGGATTTTGGATTTTGGATTTTGGATTTTCCATTGTTTCTTTTGACTCTTCTCCCGTTTCTTTTACACCTTCACAGATAGATAGATAGATACTTTTCTTCCCATCTATCTCTATAATATATATCCGTCCACAGGCTAACTCACTCATCCTCACAATCTAGATCTAGCAAAAACTATTACCCCTCCAAAGCCATCACGCAATTAGCATGGAAACCCCAGAGATCTAGCAATAATACTCCAGAGCACGACGAGAACATAGATATGGAATTGGCAATTGCGAGTGAAGATAGTTCTTTGAGGATTTATTCTTTATGTTGAATTATTCTATGTCTGTGTTGAATTATTCTATAGGGGTATCGTATGTTAAAGTACGTCGCCTCGTGTGATGCTTGGTAACGTAACGCCTAGCTATCTGTCTGTATGTCTGTACAGATTTTAGAGGCGTTAAGGCTCTCTAGATAGTTATATAGATGAATTGAGTTGAAATGAAATAACGGAGTGCAAAATGAAAAGTGTGAAAGTGTGAAGTGTGAGTATCCCAGCAGACCTGTTCCCTTCTTGTGTCATGTTGAGTGCTATACCATGTTGTCCCATATATATACGCATTATAGCGTTTCCACGCACCATATCAACAATCACCTCCCCCTCCATTCCCACCTCCCCTCCCCCTCTTAAAGCACATCCATCCACATCTCCATCCCCAACCTAAACCCTCTTCTCACTTCCATACCCCCCCCCCCCCCCCATCAAATAACTCGTCCCCGCACTCCCCGCCCCATTCCTCGGACCTCTCTCCTTCAAATCCTCCCCTAACCACTTAAGCACCAACTCACCTAATATCGAATTTCCCCCGCCATCCCCTTTCATCTCCTCCTCAAACTTCCCAATCGGCCCCCACTCCTTCACCCTCCCCAAACTCATATGCACCAAATCCGTAGGCCACCCCGCCAGATTATCCAAAATATGCGTCGCATAAACAATGGTGCAATTCCTCTTTTCCGTCTCCTCCTTCAAAAAATCCAAAAATCTCTTTCGACTCAATAAATCTAAATCCACTGTAATTTCATCCAGGAGTAATATCCGCCAGGGTCGTATTAAGCCCATAGCAAGTTGCACGCGACGACGTTCACCGTCGGAGACTTGGTGCATGCGCCATTCGAGATCGATATCGAGAACGCGAACTAGCTCGTCCCGTCGATCGGGGTAGTATGTACCGCCTACTGAGGAGAGGAGTTCGCGGACCCCGATGTCGGTTCGTACGATGGGGTTGAGTACCCATTCGAGTCCGAGGTAGGTCACTCCTACGAGAGAGTCTTTGAAGGGGTCGAGTCCCGAGATGGAGATTGTGGAGGTGGGGGCGAGACGTTTGCCGGAGAGGAGACGGAGGAGTGTGGTTTTGCCGGCACCGTTGGCGCCGATTAATCTAGTGGGTGAGGTGAGGTTAGCTTGTTTGCTTAATTGCTTAGTTGCTTGTGAGGAGGGGATTTGTGGTGGTGAAGATAGGATAGGTAGAGCAAAAACGAAAGTAAAATATCAAATAAATCATCTTAGTACTTACAGAGTTCGCGAACTAGGAGGTAAACTCAGTGTTATATCCGTAAGACCCAGAGTAGAATCCGGAAACTTATATGTAAGATTCTTGACTTCGATTGAAGGGGCATCGGTCTGATCATCTACTGAGTTTGGCATCTTTGCTTTGTGTTTGTTGTTGATTTTGGAGTTTGAGGTTTGCGGGAGAATTGAAACTTTTGTCAGAAAGAAGAAGAAAATTTCAAATTATAGAAAAAAACAAAGATTTTAAAAAGCTATAAAGTATCTATCTAGGATAATCTCACAAATAAAAAAAGAGTCTATAATTTTCCAATCTTATTTGGAATTGTTAACTGTCTGGTAATTTATAAAGATACTACACTAGATAGATAGTGGGGTGATGGCCGGCACATATACGGAATATTTTACTCGATGAGAATCAATGACGCGATGGATGTAGTGGTGATCTTAGCTTAATTATTAGATCTTATCTGTACAGGGATAACATGGTACATAAGTCTCGGGAATAGCTTCAAAAAATTTCGGTTTGAGGAATTTAAAATATTTAAACCTTTGATTTCTTTTGTTTGTTTATATTTTTTATGTTTGCATTTTTGTAAGGTGTGATATCATGTGGTTGATGAATTTTATATCTTTTATTTTCAAGATTTAAAAAAAGAATCTATAGTAAAATCATTTTGAATATTTAATTATATTATATAAAGAGTATTTTAATTTTATTTCTATATATTATTTGATATATTTAAAAATAAAAAATAATATATATAAAAAGAGAGGATTTGTTCTTTTCCTTATAATACTTGTAGAATTCTCTAGAATAATTTTTAAATTTCTTCTCAGAAACTATCTCAACTTTTCTTGTTAATTAGTTAGCTATCAGCTAGAATAACACTCCATACCACTCATAGGATCCCGAAGCTTTAGCTGTCAGTAATTTTCTATATTACACGGGCTTCAACAATGTAGCCTTCGTTCCATATTTTTTACTTTTTATCTTTCACTGTACCAAACAGTGTAGTAACAACATCCGAAGAATCGAACAACAATTCAATCCTCCGAGGATGAAAAGACTTACAATGCTGATTGTTGTATATCATACAATTTATTATTCATCATACACAGCATCTACAAAGTAATATCTACGAAAGATCTCTGTAAAGAAACAATAAGTCTAAAGAAACTAGGTAGTTAATAAGTCCACTTTTAGCAAACATGAGTAACTTCCATGATCGATCATCTGGCATGGACGGACATCCAAGTACACCTAACCCACTGGCTCTTTCACGAGATGAATCCATCTCAAGAGTCGAGGTCGCCATTGTCACCGACAGACCCCCAATTGGCGAGGTACTTTCCCTTGAAACCGACCATCCAGATTGGACCATCGGATACGCAAGCCTAGGAGGAGGCACCAAAGTTGCCGACCCTGGAAGTCTTTACTATGGCTTCATGTCCGAAGTCCTAAGACATCCCGCTCTCAACATCAATGATACTTCTAATTGGTCCTATTACAATTTCTATAGCAAAATCGTTGCGAACAGGCAAAATAACACGGGCCCTGGTGCGGTAGGTCCAGTAGCCAGTTCCATCGTATCCGCCAAGGCAGGTGCGATTATAATAACAGTTTTAAGCCCAGAAGCCGAAGTAGACCGATATATTCCTCGTCTCCCCATTGGCGAGCTCATGTATCAATCCTGGCGCGATACTTGTCACGAAGACGACACACTCGAAGCAGGCTACCATTTGAGTGATCTGAAATATATCATTTGTGGCCCGATAGTTAATCAAGGTATGCACGACACGATTAGAGATGTGCTTGGCAGGACGGGTTACTCGTCTAGAGAAATTAAAAGAGGTGTGCAAACTACATTCTCTCTCATTAATTCGAATCCTGGTCTTTTTCAGATGTTAATGGAAACAGATATTGGTAAACTGGTTGCGGGAATGTGTAAGAATCATCCGCGAAGTTTACTTGCAAAACAGGTAAGTAATATTCATGTTTGGAGTCATGTTCCGGGCAGTGATACCGGTGGTCTTTTGATTTTTGAATTGGAATTGGTGTAGTGGATTTGGAGTTTTTCCATACCGCACAAAAGCTAGAAAAGCTCTGTTTCTTTATTGATTTCTTTGCCGCGTTGGAGTTTGTTTAGATTGACTCTTATATCTGCAAGCAGTTTCTGAAATTTGAAATTCCTTTCCTAAAAACGAGATGAGCGTTGGCTCGCTAAGAAAAAGACCAAAATTGAATTAGATGAGTATCTGCATATTTTCGTCGGAGTTTGGTTCATGAATAAAATATAAATTTGTTTGAAAACATAAATAAAAAGACTTGATATTATTGAACAAAAAAGTGGTGAATTTTTAGGGATTAAATTTGAGAAGTTGATAATAAAGTTGGTGTAAATATCTTATACTCAGTGAAAGAAAGGGGAAAATGTAGAAGTTAAATGGAAAGAACAAAGGGAAATGAAATGAATGCTTGAGATTGGTATGAATTAGTCATTCACTTTAGATCATAAACTGTACTCTTTACTATAGCCTATGGCCTATGGCAGTCTTCGTATTCCTCGAAATAGACTAATACTGAACATATACAAGATCATCAACCCCGCTGTTAAAATAGATAAAAAACCGGAGTCATACCAAATCATATTTGAACCACTTGCACTCATTGCTTTGCCAGAATAATGCGTGCATATCTATTATGTAATTCACGATGCAAAAGGTGCAGGACAGGAGGACAAAAACTCTCCAAACCCTAGGTTGGCTATATATAGACTGTTTGTCTATAATAGCTACAGCTGCAACCTGCTCCACCCACCACCTTCGATCTTAACATCCACATGCATCTACATCAACTCCGAACATCAACACATCGGAAGCCAATCCTCCTTATATTCCTCTAACCATTCATTAAGACCCTCTATATAAGGAGCCCATTTTTGAAGCTAGAAACAATTAGTCAATACTACTCCTCGATTCTTCCCTCGAGCTCGAAGTTACAAAAATGCCGAAATTGGACGAAAAATGGAAGGATAGATAGATGAACACTAGGAATCCAAAAAAAAGAGAAAACATACCCAAGCAACAGCATCCTGAACACAATCAAAGCGCCACATAAGCGAAGTATTAATAATATATTCTTTCCTTCTCTTAACATTCTCAGCTAAATCCTTAAGAAGCGCGCAATGGAGAGCTGTGGGATTGGGATTTAGTTAGGTTAGTTTTTTTTAATAGAAGATACAATAGTGAGGGAAATGCTAGTGGATACCGAGACAGAGATGATAGAGTATGAAGAGACGTACAAATTTTCGCATACTCGTTATATCCCGGAGATCCAGGTGGGCCATAGTTGGTACTTGGTGGGGGGTGCGATGTTTGATATTCTTTGCATTTTTCAACTGATGTATAGAGAGGATTAGCTTGATTGTCTGCTCATGATACGCGATTTCGTGGATCATTTACATGTATATTATGGCAGGAACTTTATGCACTTAAGAAGCGGGACGAGTGAAACATACGCTTTTGGTCAGTGAGTGGCATATCCTTCTCATCGGGACCGAGGTCTCCACCTATCAGTTCAAGAGGTGGACATGAATCTGTGCTTTTTGAGCTTGCGCTACAGGTAGAAGTAGTCGAAGTTGTAGTAGGTGTGAGATTGGAGGAGGGTAGAGAGCTGAGAATACTTGTATCTGATGAGAATGTAGTGGTTGAAAAGATGCTGGGACTTATTGAAGCCGATCGATATCTGCTTGATGAGATAACACTTTGTTCGGATGCTAGAGTTGATGAGGAAAGAAATGTGCTGCGAAGAGTTGAATAAAGTATGGTGGATGGAATACTACTGGTAGGAGTCCAGCTAGATGAGGATATACTAGATAGGATGCTGCTGGAAGATGTGGTACTTCTTAGAGAAGATACGAAGGATGTTGCACTTGAAGAGTATATTATAGTGGAATAACTACTTGTAGTATAACTCGATGTCGGAACATAAATCAATGTCGTAGCCGACGAGCTTGATGATGTGGAGGTTGTCGTACTGGCAAGTACATAGGGAAGTAACGCCACAAAGAAGAGCCTTAAAAGCATGAAATGCATTTCTAACATTGATCGAAGGAGAACCGATACTTAAACTTTAGATGATAGAAAGACGGATGGTATAGGTACTTGTTATACTTTTCATTGCCAATATTCTCTGGCAATGCCAAGTCCCCGTACTACCCCTTACTGCCACCTTCTACATTCGTATTTCCTTTCAGTTGAGATACCCATGAAGCCACAATATCAGCCCTAGTCCTTTATCATAATGGCCGGTCAATGATAATACGTATACTATCATCTCCATTCGGCTCTACACGTATGCCTTGTCTCTCGAGCCAGTCCAACTGTATAATTTCAAATCAGTTTCATTCGATGTAATCGTGGCGCCCTTGCTCATCGCGTGAATTCATAGAGTGAATTAAACTTACAAATCTTTGCCATGGATTACGCTTCTTCTTAGGCGGAGGATTGGGAACCGTGGGAGGAGTATTAGGATCCGTTGGAGGAGGCTCTGTCGTAGTCCCATTTGAGTCGCAACTTTCAGCAATGTCGGCTAATTCTTTTGCTTGATGAATTGTATCTGCTAGAGAGAGGTAGTTTGTGTTATTGAATGCAGATGCCCAGTAGTCCACTGTGTCGCAGCTGCGTCTATTTATCTATACAGTAATAAGAAGAGAGCTAGTGGAGGAAAATCAGGAATAGGCACGGATCCATGAAACTCACTGGCAGCAAGAAGAGGAGCGTCGCTGTCGTCGTTATCTCTTGCAACTAAAGACGGACATGCAGTTGAAGATGAAATTGAGGTATTATCGATGTTTGTAACTACCACCGAAGTAGTGGATGCAGTTCGGGGAGTATAAATGGAAGTAGTCGGAGCATTTGATACACTTGAGTACGAGCTTAAGACTGACGAGAAGACCGACGAAGAGTTTTGGACTAGGATTTTAGTAGTGGGAGATATTAAAAAAGTAGAACTACTCTGTGCTTGCAAAGAAGAAGTGGTCAAATAAACCGGAGTCGTAACCGCTGAAGAAAGTCCCGAAGAGAGTCCAGAACAGGATACAAGATGGAGAATCCCCACAAGAATGAATTCAGTATACATGGCTTGCAGTAAGATTGGAAGGAGCTGAGGACGAGTGGGAATGCTTGCTCATCTTGACACCATCTAAACAACCAAGATCTTTTTATATAGACTTGACAGATATCGTGATGGTGTTTGTGCCAAGAATTTAACCTAGATTTTTGTCAGCCTTCATATCTAAACGAAGTCTGGCCGTTAGCCAAGCGATGTGATTGAAGCCATGTCTTTGAATATCCTCATATTTTCCAGTTCTGGGCCGGTGGCTGGTGATCTTAACGAATCACAAATTCAGAAAATGAGACGCAGAAGGTGGACATGAATATTTTGATTTTTCTTACAACAATTTATAGATCTATGAATGCTAGCGAGATCTATGCTTATGCTGCCTGTATTAATCCAATGCCACTCGGCTTTTAGATCGATACAAAAACGATAATCAGTTAAGAATAAAGCGCAATCGCCATAATCCGCAAGTGATTGATAATAGCATATATGTAGGTGATGACAGAGGCATCTGATAAAAAGAAACAAATGTCAATATGCCAAGAACAAGAAAACTAATTTAACTATCTCACCAACCTCCGGATTCTCATATCAATCCCCCATCCCATACTCCACACAGCAAATCACAAACCCCGAGCATCAAGCCACTCCTGAAGTCCCTCAAAAAAAACCGCATACTTCCTCAGCTAAATGATACGACAACCATAAAAATTAGTAATCTTACCAACCTTCCCCCTCAAAACTTTACAATAAAGACAAAACAAAGCAAAAAAAACTCAAAAAAACTCACATTAGCAACCAAATCCTTGAAGCTCTGACATTCCATATTGCCAAGCTCAATTGCATCATCTATGACTAGTTTTGCTTTTTCTATCTGATCATATATTTGGACAAGTAATCTCATTAATTCGACTGGCAAACGAGTAGTTTTTGGTTAGCTTTCGGCCATCATATCATACGGATATAAAGGAGTAGGAAATGGTATGTGGGGATAGCTTACTTTGTTCTGGTGTAAGTTTGGGAGGGTCAGCACGCTTCCTCATGCGGTACACGCTATAAGTTGGTATGGCGGTGGGGACATCGGTGGGTCCTGACCAGGTGAAGGATGGAGAAATGAAGGTGCTGGATGTGAAGGAGGTGGTTGTGGTGGGAAGGATGTAAGTTGTGGAGTAGGTTGTCGTTGGCTCGTTTGTTGAATAGGAAGGGTACGTGGAATAACCAGGAGGGGAAAAGTGGTCCGTGGCTGTTGCTTTGGTGATGGTGTTGTGGGTAGAGGAGATTAAGGTCGTTGGGAAGTAGTATGTGATAGGAGTTGAAGTAGATGTTGCCATCCTGCTCGTATCTTCATAATAGACAGGATCACAAAGAGTCAGGCGGAGGAGTACCGAAAGAGTAGAGGTAAAGAATCAGTAGCGCATTTTGATACAAGTAGCTTCACGAGAAAATGTTTTTTTTTTTGAAATAAATGGTATAAGATTCCAACGTCGATACTAATGTCGTGTCGTTGCTGAGTAGATATTCTACAGTTCTCAAGTGGTTTATATACACTACCTCCTACTATCTATATCTACCATCGCAACTTCACCGCTCCTAGATGTCCCAGTTCAGTCTGCGGAGGATCGGGCCACATAGGAATAGGCATATGAAACTTCATAGTTATGGGTGAGTTGAACATAGCTCAAGAATACTGGTCAACTATCTTCACCTCCGGAGTATCAAAGTCTTGCCCACCACCTTCAAGAACATCACGTTCCCGAGACTTTTCCATGCAAACTGTCGGACGAGATCTAGATACAAATTGGCATTATTAACGATGTGTAGCTTTTAGTATGCCAAGAAAAAAATCCACCTCACTTTGAGGCAGACGGGAACCGCATAGTACTTCCGCCACATCGGAGCTTCCCTCACGCCAAAAAAATAACCGTTGCTTCCCTTACATAAATGAGGGGGTTTTCTGAGCCCCGCACATGTTTAACCATGAATCATCATACACCAGAGAATGCGAGAATGACAGCCCTTCCCAACCCCGTTCACTAGTAATTGAATTTTGGACGAAGTACAAATCTTTACTTAGATGTGCATATCTCTAGCCACAATCTAGCACTCACATCAAATATACAATAGCATCATCACTGGACTCGCGCAAGATAAGCCATCATGTGGGCAAACATACTACGAAGAATATAATTAGAAATTAAATATACCATGCCAGGCACTCGCCGTAGTATTCAACCTAAAAGGACAACACATACCGATAGTCTTCCCCGCGCGGAAACCTATCACTTCAACTAACTTAAATTCCCCGAAGCAAGACATTAAATCCCAAGCATTCCAACAGCAACGTGTAATTTAGTTGGCGAGAACTACCCGCACGGCTTTTACCCATGTGGCGCGTTGAAGCGGGAGATTCAGGGAGGCGGTTTGTAGGTCTGAGGTGTTCTAGATGTTTACGTAACGATGGACCTAATAGCCAAGTTCATAGGGCTGAATTAATATCCTTTGGAAGAAATGTACTTCTGCATTATTTTCTCCATCTATGTCCTGTCCCACAATTATGAAGTATTCAATTGCGCATAAGTCCCATTTATTTATTGTACAGATCAACAACTTCTTTCCACGACATAATTATCACTTCCTCTTCGTTGCTCCGCCTTTCTTAGAGCTTCCCGTGGCCTTACCAACAACTTCATCTGCCTTCTTTTCAGCTACCTTAGCACCTTCAATTCCCGCCTTGGCGCTTGCATCTGCGCCCGGAACACTCTTCAAAGGTTTGTTGGCGATTTTTTCTTCAACCTCTTCATCATCACCGCCTTGTCCAAACTCATTGACTCTTGTGTAGTCAACCTTGTACTTCCAGCTCTGGTAAAGATAAACGAAGAAGATAACGTCATCTCTGAGTGTCGCCAAGCGATGTAAAGTTGGCATCTTAATTGTGAATGCAAAAAGGTCATCGATGAAGGTATTCAAGAACTTGTACATCATAGCTCTACCTGGCATGTGTGCAACACTCTTGAGACGATAGTTGATGTATAATGAAGGGACCATCATCAAGAAACCGTACGCGTAGACGGATCCGACGAGAGTTGCGATTACAAAGGAGTACCAAGATTTGTGACTTTCGTATTTCAAGGAGTATGCTCCGTAAGCGATGAGGAGAGGAACAGCAATCATGTACATATACTTGAAAGCGACTGCATCGTATTCCTTGGTCTTCTCTTCTGTCTCGGAAAGGACATGTTTGTCTTCAAAAGCGATGCGGTAAGGTATGATCGAATTTGGTGCATCGCGAATACGAACATTGACAACCGTAGTGATTTTCCAAAACTCGAGAACAATCCCCATTCCTTGAGTGAACAAAATCATCCAACCTAGATATCTAGTAAGTGACATATTCATGATCATGGGCTAAAAGCTCAACTTACTGGTATTCTCATTATTATCCATCAAGTACAAGAAAATAACACCTTGCATAAAGACGTTTCCGAGGATTGAACGAACTGAGATTCCGACATTGTTCTTCTTGTTTCGGTAATGACTGATATCGGATTTGAAGGCCATCATCTCGAAGATCATATGGAAGATACTAACAATGACCGTGGTTGCCAGAAGATAAATATTAGTGTCTAATAAGACTTCCTTGATCATTTCGAACTCAGAACCATCTCCACCGCCGGGTGGTGCTTGTCCTTGGGCGGCATTTCTGGCAGTTTGCTTTGCGCCTTCATCCATACTTGCCATCAAGGTGAACTTCCAATTAGCAAAGTTCTGAAGATCAATGTGCATAGGAAGTCTTGTGACCGTTGAATTTAGAACTGTCATGTGAGTCTTCAACTGCCAAAAGGTGTTGACAAAGAGTAGTGGATAGTACCATCCATTAACTCCAGTACCGTCTCTGGATCCGCCCGCCTCCAAATGAACGTATTGACGAACAGCAGGATGTAAAGATGGAAAATCCATGACGCCAGAATCTGGAATGAATGACATTGTAAAGTTAGGATGATAGTGTGATTTGATTACTGGTCCGCTAGGTATTTCTTCTTCAGGCTGTTGACTTGTTAGTATAGTCTTTATGTCTGAATGTTAAGGAACTTACCTCATCCGTCTCTTCAGCTGCTGCCAAAAGGTTCTTGGTTTTCCTTATTTTCTTTTGCGCAATGTATTGTGTCAAAGGATGCACGAAGTGAAATGCCCTAGTAGCATCATATCCGGGAGTAGCAGGATCCAACTTGCTTCCAGACATTCCAATATAGAAGTGACCCCAAAGTGTACCATTATTCTGTACCTCGGATGGTACATCGAAACTCGTATCAATCGATCGACGTTCATTGTAATCTCCAAATATAAATCCCGTTTCATCTAGTACGATTCTCTCCTTTGGGATCTTTGCAATTGGCTCAGCAACAAAAGTTGGGGATACGACAATGGTGATATCAAGAGGGCTATCCGTAGGCCACATAGGCGCAATTCTTTGAGGAATAGGACTCCACACTGCTCCTTCGTTTAATCTATCGGGTCGTGCATGATATGGTGGGATTTCACCGGTATTTGCTGGCACATTCATGACTGCTCCTGAAGCATCGGTTGTAGTAGTAGTCGTAGGCCCTTTATTCCCAGTTATTTGCTTCATCAAGAGTTGCATGCCAACGAAGATGGCAATGCCCTGCATGGCGGATTTGATCATAGGCTATTCATGATTTTGTCAGTAATATTCATTAGCTAGCTTTTGGAGAGACTCACACCCATACCGCCTTCTTGGGCTTGCGCATCCGCAGCTGGAGGAGCTGTTCCGGATGGCATATTGAAGATAGTATGCCTTATTTTTTTTTAAATTTTTGTATAGGTGTGACGGCAAATGGGTTTGTTGTCTACATGGAAAATAATTATGGGGTAGCTTGCGGGACAATAAGCTTACATAATAAACCTTGGTTCCGATCTCCGATGTAACGACTATATATCGTTCTAGGCCTTCTTCGTATGAACCTGCGTTCCAAGATGACATCCTGTACATATTATTATTATTATTATTATTATTATCGAGAGATCCTTCTTTTGAAATATTGGAACCCACATTAGAATATTGATGTATTAAGAGTTAAGTCCTAAGATTTCAACAATTCTCATCGTTCAACAGCCGAGCCAAGTCCGTTTTTGGAGCACATCAAAAATTCAAGAATATAATATATATACGAATACCGAGTATTCCTAAGGAGGCCGATACCAAGCCGTCGGTCTCAACACTTTTTAAGTTTACAAAATGTGACGGTAAGTTCCTCAAAACACGCAGTCGTCCTTTGGGAACACACTCTTGGGTAAGCTCCAAGAAAAGAACCCCCAAACCCAAAGATACCCAAACCAATAACACCACTTCGAGTCTGTCCTCCATCCATGATGTCTCAATACTCTCTTTCCCAACTTCTGTGCAATCTCTTCGGCGATGATAGCACATGGACTTAGAGAATACCATTGAAATATGTGGCTGATTCCACATCCTGAAATCCTTATTTTTGCGGGAAGATATATCATAGCATGCATACAGGCAGAGATGAAGAACACCAGATACAGCATAGCGAATTTGTTATATTTGGAAGTCTGTGGAATCCGAAATATGTTTGAAGACATAATTGAGGCCCAACCGATGAGATCGCGACGTAGGAATTGATGCCAAACGATACTAGGAATGAGTACAGTGTTAGCATGGATCCTCCATTGTACTTTGTAGACAATCACGTACCCCCGATATCTTCGGATGGTATATGCTTCCCCTAATGACCCATAAACAGCAAAATTCCAACCTGGTATAGCTTGAGCACCGCCAATGAAGACTGCAACTGCAGATATAAAATTATGATGGGCGGACATAACAAGCATTTCAGGGAGAATAAATAACACAGGTAGTGCTAATCTTATACATATCTCTCTTGTAGTAACTTGGTGTATTCTTCGGAAGAACTGTTCTTTGTCAGGTCCATAATCACCCGCCCTAAGACTATTTTGATAAAATCTTTGAAAAATGCCTACTATCCTCCAAAAAAGGTAGCAAAGCCATGTCATGAGTACTCTGCTGATGATAAAAGCATCTGGATTCGAAAGATCGGCGAATCTTTGTATTGGAAATCGTGGCAGCTTCCCCGGCTGAGAAGACGTCTCGATCTGTCTTGGGTTAAGGTATTGATTTATGGCCCAGATTAGTTTCTGCTTGAATGTCGTGGCAGACAAATTTGGCGACTCCAATCTGAATAATCCAAAATTTATGGTGCCTAGTAACTGGGCTGCAAGCATGTATTTTGCAAAGTGGGAATATGAATTGCTACCTGAATCTCCATAGTGTATAGCAGTGAAACCATAAATGAGAAGCATCGCAAATGGACCTGCTCGCAAAGAAGTACGAGGCGGGATATAGGCCATTATTAGGCTGCCAAATATATAAGACAATGCTAGTGATAAGATTGGAAAGGTCAATATCGGACTACCTGACTTTAATTAGCTTGGAACCTTAACGTTGTTCAATGTGCGAGAATGAACAAACCTCCCAGATATGTGTCGAGAACATTGAAAATTAAAATTTTCATGATTTTTATTTGTTTAGGCTAGGTTTGAAGAATTATTTTCTATGGAGAACATGGGGATGGTCTGCGGATTTGTGGATATTAAAATTGTATGAACTGCGAAAGAAGGCAAATTTGGAGTCATCTTCAGTAGCAGATTAAGTGATTCAGACATTACTCAACATGGTATTCGAACTGTGATTCATCATCACCAGTACAAATGGCTGTGGGATGAAGTGGATTTGATAGTGTTAGTAGTTTAATGCCTACTATGGATGAATCAGACCGACCATTTGACCACTTCGCACTAGCTTCACTGAAGACCGCAACATTGAAAAATATAGCTTCAATCTGCGATCCAAGAGAAAGACTGAACAGCACGGGAAAGGGAAAACTCAAAAACAACAAGCAAAATGGCAAAAGCTTACCACCCCTCGAAGGGTGGAAGGATAAAACCCCGCGTGGTCCATTTTTCGAGCCAGGCTACATTACTACTCTATGATGCGGGTATATTGACCTGAACAAACACGCCTCACCTATCTGCAGCCTTTAGGCTCTCCATGGAAGCTTTTCCGCAACACGCTTTGTGTAGTACGAAAAACGTGAATTTGCCCTCGATGATAAAATCCATTGACCCATACAAATTACTTCAATGCGCAACTAGCCCTTCAACAGCAAGGGAAGATGCGAAATCTGAAGCCGAGTAACTAATACAACGATTATTGGTTGAGGCTCGAAAAAAGTATATTAGGTTATGATCTAATGTTATATTCCATACTCTATGTAAAACAGCTGAATTCGAAAGTTGGCCTCTGTGACATTGCCACAAGAACAATGAATGGGCCTTTCAAACGGCAAATTATGATAGAGATGAATACCCACGATAAGCTGTGTTTCTGTAGAGGGGGAAATGATATTCTGAATATGAATGTCACCAAAAGAAAATGTGCAGCTCCAAAACGATGCAGGACTCGGTTGCGAAAGTGTCTCTACTTAACCAAGATGTGCTTCAATGGGGACTTGGCCATACCAATGTGTGTGACGGCGAATCCATCTAGAACAGCGAAATAAGGTAACGGTTTGTATTCAGTCTCAATATGCTATCACACTTGTGGTAAGGACGCGCTCGAGATGGTGATGAGGATTTAAAGCGTAGCAAGCGGGTTCGTGATCATAGCATGATGGCATGCGTACAATCGAATTTTTGACGTCCGGATCATTTGATAGATGCATTCTCATCGAGATTACGACGAAACCCTGAATTCAGCAGTTCACTCGGGATGTAATATTCCGCAGGCCTCAAATATCAACCGCGGTGAGGTAGTTCCCCTTACATAAGCACTATGACATAACCTCCGCTCAATTGGACCCCTGTGATCATCCACACACCAATCACACTGCGCTAACAACCCCACAAACCGCGGGGTGAATGTATCATACCCAACAAATACAATGACATCTAACCTAAGTAGGTACTTTACCAGACTTCTCATCCCAATCATATATAAATCACCAAATAAATTCATTGAGATTGAATCACTAACGTACTACCGTCACCGAGTTGAAGCAAATTACAGTCCTTTCTTAAAACCACCTTTCGCTTTCTTACACGTTTCTTTTTTCAGCATCCTCGTCATCAGACAACATTTGGTACCTGCAGATAAATCCACTCTTACCACTAGCTTCTATACTTAAGTAGTCGACTAGATCTCAAGTATACAACAGATACAACACATACAACATACAACATTTAACATACAACATTTAACATACAACACATTATACAACAAGACTTTCAAGACTCGAGATCTCTTTTTGCCCTAACATCATAAACCCATCAGCACTTTCACACTCTCAAACTTAAATAACTAAAACAAAAATGGCTTCCGGCGGCGTCTCTCCCATCTCATCCGGCTCCCCCGTTCCCTCCCTCCGCGAATCAACAAACCCAATAATGTCCTCTCCCCTAGCACAAACTACCAACTCCTCAACTAGCACACCACCCCCCACAAAAATCTGCGTATTCTGCGGCGCCTCACCAGGGAACAGCCCCTCGCACATGGCGATGGCGCGTTCCCTAGCCGAACACATGGCATCACAAAACATATCCCTCGTCTATGGAGGCGGTACCGTCGGACTGATGGGAGAAATAGCCCGAACACTAGTTTCCCTCTCAGGTCCCACTTCCGTACACGGAATCATTCCCGCTCCATTAGTTAAATATGAGCGAGGCCCCGATAGCGAAGCAGCTAGTATTCACAGTAGGGAAAATGGAACCGGGACTCCGGAAAATGGTGATGGCTTGCCGGAATATAATATCTATGGGAAAACTACAGTGGTAAAAGATATGCATACACGAAAAGCAAGGATGGCGCAGGAAGTGATGGCAGGGGGTCCTGGGTCCGGATTCATTGCGTTATCAGGTGGTTATGGGACGCTGGAGGAATTGATGGAAGTGGTGACTTGGAATCAATTGGGTATTCATACTCGAGGTGTTGTGCTTCTGAATGTAGAAGGATATTGGGATGGATTAATGGCGTGGATTAAGAATTCTGTGGAGGCGGGATTCGTAGGAGAAACGAATAAGAATATCGTGGTTGATTGTAGCACGGCGGAGGGAGCAATTCAGGCATTGAGGGACTATAAGTTGACCGAAGGAAGATTTAAGTTGGAATGGGGTAATGAATAGATAGATGCACTGGTTGTATCTATTCATTGACGGAATGGGATGGATGCACATTCTTGCATTTACATTTGCAGTTCCATCACCATCAATCACACCTTACGAATGAGCGGATATCGAAAAAAAAAACAACTCAACAAATCACGATCATCCGCAAAGGCGTCACATATCTCATGAAAAACCCCAGCGCGGTGGACATTCCGAACCATGAACTGAACTGAACGCAGAATATACATACATGCCCTTAACATTATAGATTCTAGCAGTGCATAGCCAGCCAACTAGCATGGATTACAACATATATTACTAGACGATTAAAAGTTAAAAACATCTATCTATCTATTTCATGAATAAATCCTCTCAATATAGGTAATCTTACCATTGTGCAAGAAAGAATAAGTACCTATTAATTATGATGAAATTTGCTCGGGTTCGGGTTGGGTGATGTTGTATTGTATTGTATCTTACTCATATCTATCTATCTATCTATCTCTCTATCTATCTATAGATACATATAAATCCGCTACCAGAAAGAAAACCCACTTGATTTATTACTCCCAAAGTATCGTCGTGGGAATTGTGGTTGGGAGGGGGAGGGGGATGTTGTAATACGCGTGGAAGGTATTTGTCAACTATCAAATAGAGACAAGGAAATACCTATACCTACCTAGTATACCTATACCTATCTTTACATTCCACTTCCTATAATGTAAAATTACCTAGTATATCTTTGATTTTATACTCTATATCCTAACCTCATATCCTAACCTCATATCCTAATTCTCACATCTTAACCTCATATCCTAACCTTATATCCCAAATAATAAAAACCAAAAGCAAAACCCTAAACCAAACATTCACACACTCAAACTACATGGTGAAAAGCTAGGGATAAGAGTAAAAAAAGAAAAGAAAAGGGTATCTATCTCGTTCTAGCCAAGTTTCCACGGGACTCACATATAGATATCATGAATATCCATTCATTTATTCCGAGCTCATTTCTATTAGCTAAGTCATAAATCCATACTATTCTCATTGATCGACCTTATTAGTAGGTAATTCAAGCATCTACTTCCATAGTATCAGCTACTTCTGCTTCCGCTTCCCCTCCCTCTGCACCCTCTGCACCATCAGCCACCAAATCCACCCACTGCTTCACATCCTGACCATCAAAAAGCTTGAAAGCCTCAATACGTTTTGCGCCTTCTGGCTTCAACCCTACAACTCCCACACTAGTATTCTCAACCGTTAATTCCTTATCCTGAGCTAAACTCTCCTTAAGCGCCCTTAAACCATGCTTAACCAATTCCTCTCTCCCACACTCTGGAAACTCCTCCAAATGTCTCTCTAGATAAGTTCTTGCCATTTGACTCCGCGCTCCAATTGCACATGCGTTCATTTCTTGCGTCATACCCGATGGTTGGAATTCGAATAGATGAGGGCCGGTTTCGTCAACGCCGGCGACGAGGAGTCCTACTCCATATGGTCGTTTGCCGTAATGTTGAGTATTGGTTTGGGCACGGTCACCGATTGAAGCGACGAGTCGTTCGATGGGGATTGCTCGGTCGTAGGTTAGGCGTGAGGCGAGGGTTTGGTTTTTCATGAAGTTGGAGAGGACGCGAGCATCTGAGGCGAGACCGGCGAGGGCGAGACCAACGTGCTCATCGATGGCGATTACTTTTTTTTGGTACGAGGAGAGTTCTTCTGCGTTTCTCTGTTTGAAGAAAGATTTGTTAGCTTATGTTTATTGATCAATAATATAAATAAAGGTAAACTAAGAGTGCCATATTGAGCAGTCTTCTGTTTGTAGTTGTAACAGAAAGTAAATATAACATAACCAACCTTTAAAGCTACAAGAACAGCATGAGTCTTGCTAACTATTCCCACAACAACACTACCCTGCTTCACAGCTTCAGAAGCATATTCGACCTGAAAGATTCGACCTTGCGGAGAGCTATTATCATAACCTCATCAGCTTCAATTACGATTTCCATTCCCAGAGTAGCACTTGTAACTTACAACGTAACAGAATCGTTATCATAATTGTTTCTGAACATCTTGAATAGAAAACAAGCTGAACCGCTCGTATGCAGAGGGAAATATCAGGGTATCTTCAAAGTAACAAAGATCGTTGTTTGTAGGTGGAAATTGTGAATTCTATTGTATTGTAGTATGAACGAACGCTTTTATTGGAAGCGAGGCAGACACGCTGATGAAGCTCGAATTGTTGTAAGGTTGAGTGAGGTGTAGCTTACTAGGTACCTTCCAGAGCGGCAAGAGTTTAGAGAGTAATTGACTGCAGAGGGGGAAGGGGAAGAGCGCTGCTTTAAGAAGTGGATTGACAAGGCTAGGAAGCTACACATTAAGCGCGTGCTTCGGAAACGTCAGCTCTTGGGCGGTTTGGATTAGCACTTCGCATCTCTCATTATCGACAAGCTTAACGACTTTATCATTCACCGACAAGTCTCTCATCCACCCCTTCCATTGAGATATCAACTGAGATAATATCATAAGAGAGAATCGTACAGCAGAAGTGCGCGCAACACAATAGATACAGTGCGATCGATAAATCAGGCTATATCACGATAAACCATCAAACACAATCGCAATCTATCCAACGTGCCGCTTTCTTACTTATTCAATATGGCCGCCGGCCTCAAAACCATCATTTCCCTCTCCTTCGTAAGGGCCCCCTTATCCTTACCTTCAATCCATCATCCTCCACGAAACTCCAACTAATCCCCCCAGGTCCTCGCCCTCGGCTTCCTCCTAGTAATCCTCTCCTGCGCCCTCTTCCACCAATACCTTCCCCTCCTCGTAGTCCTAACCTTCATCCTGGCACCCCTCCCCAATTTCCTCGCCTCTCGCTGCTCGTCTCCCGATGACTTCTCCGACTCCTCATCATCGGGAATCCTAGACTTGGGACGTTTCGCAACGGGTTTCCTCTGTATGATGGGTGTGGCTCTACCGGCCGTGTTGGCGCATAGTCATATTATTACGGTGCCGGCGATGGTTATGAGTATTATTGGGGGTGTGCTGATTTATGGGACGGTGATTAGTTTTGGGATGTTCTTTCAGGAGGAGGCGGAGTTTTAGGGGGAAGGGGGAAGAAGGGGCGGGGAAGGTGTTGAATAGCCAGGGGAAATGCATAGGGAGGTGGAAGGATTGTGGAAGGGCAGTGTATGGATATATAAGATGTTAAGTGGATGCGGGAAAAGAGGTGCAATAGGTTGTACCAAGAAATGGGGAAGATCTTAGTTGTGGTTCCTGAACCGAAGAAAGGCAGAGCGTAGAATGGCGCCATCGATGAAGACGATGAGTCATCGAGGACCGTCGGGAGAGCAGATGCACACTTCAATTCACACCACAGAGCATGTCAAGCATTAGAGCATCTTTCTAAAACCAGAGAAAGAAGAAGCGGATGATTAATGAATGAAGCAATGTCATAAGCACGTGCTCAAAAGTGTGAAGAAGATGCTATGGTAATGAGGAGGCAATTAGGAAAGAGCTCAAGTGTACAATGTAGGATTATCCAATCATGTTAGTGATGGACAGGACGGCCATCTTATTTCATAAAAACTCTAGCATAGGTACATTCTCGCAATCGATAGAACCATGAATTTCAAACCATGTATACGTAAAAATTGTAAAGTGGTATTCCCAGTCTGTTGAAATGTCTCTATCTATGTAAACACGTATGTGAATCCTTGCGGACCTTTGCTTTTTTCTTTCTATAAATAAAATATGTCATCGTATGAGATTCTATGTACTCCGAATCCCTTAGTCTCCATCCCACTCCATACCCGATTGTGAGAGCGCCGTCTCAAAGTCATAAATCGTTAAAATGCCCCAGTTTCTATCGGATAGATACGTTGAGTAATCTAGATCTCGAAGCGGAAATTTGTCCAGAAAGTTTGTGTAAGAAATTATTCCAAGAAAAAAACGAACAAGAAAAACTCCATAACCTCTTAACACGTGTAAGTAACTCCGTGTAATCTTTCCCCCAAAATGCATAAACCGACTCGCGTCGTAAGAAATCTTTTTTAACGAAATACTCCAAGTGTTCCATTCAACTTTGTCAACATCTCATCTCTTTCACCAATAGGAGTGCTAAGAGCTGTAACCGCACCACCTGCACCGATGTGCCATTTCTCCGTGTCTTTTTCTTCGGCTTCAATGACGCCGTCTTCGTCATCCCATCGATACATGGACCTAATGGTAACGCTAAAGTCACCACGTCCGCCAACGTCTATGTAACCAACAACCCCGGAGTATAAAGAACGAGGTTTGTGGTGTTCAATGTCTTGTAACAATTCACAGCTGCGTTTCTTGGGCGCACCAGTCATGGATCCTGGAGGGAGAGAGGCAGCTAATATGTCGAGTCCAGTGTACTTTGTTCTCTTGTCATCCTTGATGGTGAGTGATGACATGTGCGTCAACAAATCATCAGACGCCGATTTTGGGTAAGAACCTTCGACAACGGATATCATCTGGAAAACTGATGCATATTCCTCAATTACCATAAGTCTTGGAACAGAGACATTGCCGGACCCGCAGACACCGTGTAAATCATGACGAACAAGATCAACAATCATGAGGTTCTCGGCCTTTTCCTTTGGATCATTAAGAAGTATGGTGGCATCAGAAAGCGTTGAAACCTGGTCGCTCTTACGAACCGTCCCTTTCATTGGGCGAAGAGAACATTTTCCGATACGATTGTCCCACTTGAGAAATTGTTCAGGAGAACTAGAAACTAGTGTCGCCGGGCCAAGACGAAGGAAAGAAGCGAAAGGGGCGGGCTGACGTGCTCGAAGATTTTTGTACAGAGACCAAGCGCCTTTGGCTGGAGCTGGTCTTGGAGCCTTATTGTAGAGAAGAATAGATTCGGTGGTGTTGTGGGTTGATGTGTGAGGAGGGTCGCTGCGGAGACGAGTGATGGTGGTTTGGTCAGTGAGACACAACTCATAAGAGTCGCCACTGGCGATTTTATCCTGACATCGACGAACTTTTGATTCGTATGAATCGGCTGTTGGTTGAGTAATGGTCATGGCAAATTTGGAAGCAGGGCTGCGGACTGGTGACCAAGCTCGCTTTTCTCGACGAGATACTTTTATGCGATCGCAGGATAACACGAGGTCCCCTGGTCGAAGAGGCGTTTGACGAGTGCTTTTCACGGACTTTGGTTGAGATGCCTTCTCAAGCCTCGGGGCAACGGCTTCCATCCATGCAGTATCGCTTTGGCTATCACCAAGGCTGGCCAATTGTTGAAGATAGAGAACCTTCCTCACATGGTCGACAACTATACTTCGAGTGACCCATGCAAAACAAAGATCGGGTCGATAACCGTGAGCGCTAGCTCTGTCAACTTTCACATCGATAGTTTCCAGGCCCAATTCGTAAGTCGTGTATCCCATAAACCCTCCCCAGAATGGTGACTCCTCATTCCCTTCAGTAACACGCGCAATCTCCAAACGATGTGCCAGGAAGGACCAAACTCCACCACAGGACTTCAGGTCGATCTCTTCCTTGGTGTCAAGATACTCTCCAGATGAGGACGGAATCTTGGTAATGTATTCATCGCCGACACGATATTCGAACCTCAAACAATCATCGATATCTAGGCCAATGATACTATATCGTCCCCTGACGTCTGCAGATCCTGCGGAAGTTTCATCTGCGTTAGTAGATTCCAACAGAATGTGATCTCGTCCCATGTCTTGTATGGCTTCCACAATATCAGGTACCGAAAGATTCTTTGGTAAATCAATCGTTCGAGAAATGTACATATTTTTAGGCTTCATATTATCGATCGAGGCATCGCTAGCCGGCGATACAGGCATTGTTTGTAAAGCCTCAAATTGTTGGAGGAGGCTCACTCGTGTAGCAGATTGACCGTGCATGATACCGTCGTAATTGATCTTCGTCTTTCTGAAAGTTTTATTCCAAACTTGTGCCAGATTGAACCAGTTTATAAAGATTTCTTTGCTTGTATCATTTGTGCAGACCGACTCTGGATGATATTGTACTGCCCAAAAGGGTTTCGTCGCATGTCGTACACCGACCAAAACTCTGCTGTCTTTCACACCGCAACTTCTCGCATGTTCAGCCTCTAGATCTGCACTCTCAACCCAAGCCAATGGTATCAAGTCGGGAGATTTTTCTGTTGGCTCCCATCGCGATGTGTTCCAATCTTCATCTAGAATTTCGTCTTGACCTATGTCCACACATAAACTTTGATACAAGGAAGCGGTGATCTCGCCAACCCCACAAAATATTGAATCATTTTCTCCAACGGCGGAGACGGCTTGGACCTCTCCTGCGTGCACGACCTTTCTAATCATTCCATGTTGTGGGCCCTTTAATCTTTTAATTTGGCCCCCAAATTCCAAACACAACTTTTGAAATCCTAAGCAGATCCCCAACACTGGTAACATCTCCTCATCGGCAAGTCTCCAGATTTTCTTAATAATTCCGATATCACTGTCCGTCTCCGGATTTCCAGGGCCCGGGCCGCATACAACCGCTACATAATGTCTCAATTCCTCGTGCAATGCCTGATCAGAAGCTAATAGGATTGGATCATCGATTTTGACCGTTCGTACTGAGGCGGTGAGGGAAGTTTCAAGTAAAGAAATGATATTATTCGAGAATGAATCATATGCGTCAATAAAGAGAATTAGAGGTTTTTGGGTCAACATCGTAAGATTTTGCTTTTTCTCCTTTCTCCTTTCTCCTATCTGTACCTGCCTTTGATTAATTTAATCTTTCCTTCCCGTACTTCCCTGTATAATCCCCCAGCGAAAGGTCCAAGAGAGAGGAAGGGAAGAAAATTAAGTTGGATTGGGTTGAATTGTGTTCAAAGTGGACAAAAGACATGGCGGTGTGTGTGTTTGCTTGTTATTTATTTGGATATTTTTCCTCGGAAGGCGGTGGCAGAATTTAACTGGAGTAGGTTTAGCATGTTTTACATTTATTTGCTAAGGGGCTGCTAACTATGCTTAGGGCTGATTAGCGGCGATTCGTGCATGCACCAAGTATGTACCGACATCAATAAAAAGGTTTGGAATTTTGATAGAGAAACATTTATGAGGGGTCAACTTTGATATGAAATCTAATATTTATTATTTATTATTTAATGTCATTTATCAATTAATTATCAACCATCAATATTGCTTCATAGATTCATCATCAAGGAATACAGGCTTAAAGCTTTTGTCTCGTCTCTTATATCCTATGTACGACCTTTGTGCCACAATTATCTGACTGCAAGCATTAACTTGAGCTTGGTTTGCTTTCACAAACCGCATCACAGCATAAATTAGCCCATGGTCCCACAAACACGGATAAGCACTATAATGCACCAAGCCTTATCAACGGGCTTCGACCTAGGAACTCTTCAAGTCTTACTGAGGGGCTTTTAGAGCCATCTCCCAGTGAGTCCTCGATGGGGAGAGCTGTTTGTACTTTCCTGCACAGCATCAACTTTTCGTCAACTGTTAAGCTGGACGGGCAGTGGAAGAGCCTTACTAGTATGGTTTGACTCTCCATTATGCCTTAGGGAAGAAGATTTACCAGTGTGTTAGAAGAACTTGGAAAAGGTTTTGCGGGCATGCCAGGGCTGCAAATTTTTTATCACGCGTGTCTGCATTGAACGGGAGGGCTTAGCTGCTGCACGGCTACGGAGGCGCAAAATGCAAGAGATTTACGAAGGGCCCAATGAAATCCATCATCGCATCTTCCGTTCTGTTACCATCTCCAACACCAATAACAATGTCTTCACCATCACCAAATGGTGCAAACGTAGAAGCGGGGCCCTAAACACTGCAAGGTAGAAGTGGAAGGGTATAATCCTATACTACCAACACACTGCGTGGATCTTTGTCTTTATTTCCGATTCAATTGTGATATCAGCTTCCATATTCTCATAAGTTGTTACCATCGGTCGCAAAATTGCTTTTGATATTGTCAGAAATGGTAGCGGCAGCGGAAGAGAAGTAAATTCAGTTTTCCAGAATTTCAAGTCGTTCTTGAATTCACCTGCAACAATTTCCGAGTGCTGATTCTCCAAGTATTCTGCAAACTTACGGATTGCGATGATTTCCTAATGCTTGAGTAGCTATAAAAGCGGGAAAATCCTTCAGTAAGTTTTGGAACGACATGCAAGCCGCAACGAGTGGATGGAGAACAGCAACAAAGAAGTGCTCTCCAGGTGACAGGGACAACAGCATAATCCGCATTTTATGACCTCCAGCCATGTTGTATCTGTGATTGACTTGGGGAATTCCCACGGCTTCATGCATTTCTTGCCCTTCATCAATCTGGCGAGACTCGAGGTGAAATTGATATGTTCCATGATGGCTTTGGAATGTCGCATAAATTTTAGGGACAAACGTATCCTAAACAATGCTATGTGTCTGGTTTTGGTCATGGGCATGTGCTAGTTGCGCCTTCAATGGTACCCTGGATTGGCCATCACCCACTGCTGATGAAAGTCTGTCGTAGTTCTTGATGAATTGACTCAAGAAAGGTTCCGACTTCCGCACTGGATGATCCTGATCATTGACGCTGACTTTGCAGGTGCCGTCGAGAATTTCTATGCTCTTATGACCTGAATCAGGAGTCACTACCTCTGCAAATAGCTGATAGAAGTCGCGTTCAAACGTTGGAATCAGTGCTGTTGACCAAAAAGCAGGTTTAGAGTAGATTATACGGTCCAGTTGAGAGGCATATCCAGCACCATAAATTGTCCCAATGTGGATGACTGAAGCAGCTAGTTCTTTTTGTCGTCGATGCTCTGCCAGACCAGCCATGTCATATTGGCGGCCGAATAATTTGCCTCTCCAGGCCGTCGATAGTAGATACGACTGAAGAGAAGAAGATGAAAAGTCTAAAGTGTTTCCTTGAAAACATCATTCAGATGTATGTTCCCCTTTACCTTGGGTCTTGCGCCTCTCGGTAGGATTCGCAAGGTCGTGTCGCAAATTGAGATGTTTTCAGGAACTACTCTCAATTGTTAGCATGAACGAAAATTCGGAACTAGGATTTACTCTCGATCTATTTGCACTGCCGCAACTGAAGCTGGAAACACTCCCTTAGGCTAATATTGTATGACAACTGATTCCAACTTTTGATGTATCTCACATATTTACATTAGCTAGCCCGCTGTGGACTACTATAATGGCAGTCGCATACCTCCTCCTCCTTAGCAATATCCACCCGTAGGTTGAGGGCTTTCACCGGCCGAGCTGCAGGCCTTGATGGAACCTGCAAATTGGTAATGAATAGTTAGCTCCGTGGGGCGAGACTTTTGAATAGAAGATCTGATAGAATTGCAGAGTTGTGTAGGGCCAAAGACGACTTGTGGATTCCTGCACTACCAACTGTTTGCTCTGTATGACCAACGGGCGACTTAATATTGCTTATTAATAGCTATTCTACTTTTTTGCTAGGAAACCCCTCGCTTTATTACCGGGAAAAACGCGACTCTACCATCCTCCGCTCCGTCTGCATTACTTTCGAGGCTTCCAACTACATGCAATTTGGAAAGATTGGGCGCGGTGGGCTGGAATTTCCAAACCAAGACTAGCTCTCGGATAAAAATCACGAATAAGCTGTGTTTGAGTAGCATTATTTGGCCTAGAAGTGTCAATACTTGTCGATATATCACAATATTTGGCCAGAGTTCGGGTTCTTACGATGTGATCCCTTGGGCTCAACTGTCTTGGGCTGTTCATGTTTCTCGAGACATTCAATATCATATTCATCCTTGGGAGCAGAACTCAGTATCTTCAGAACTACGGCTTCGATAAGCTAACCACGAGCATGACTTTCGGTACTGGCTTCCCACATTCGGGAGCGCCCATCTGGAGAAAGCATATTCAAGGAGCTCAAAGTATGGAGCACTTAGGATCCATAATAAGGTTTGCACCTCCAGTGATGACGATTCGAACTTTGCCCGTTACGTAGTTGCTGGACTGCTTGGTGAAGTAGAAGTAAACTTGAGCTCCATGCCATATAAATGGCCATGGAAGTGCCGTGCCACTCGAAAAAAGTAACAAATTCTATTGCGAATATTGCATGCGATGTCCCAGGCCCATGATATGTGCTAATACCGACAGCATATTACCCAAGAACTTCCAAATGACGGAAAGAGAGCAAGCTTTTCTACCAGATAGAACAATCAGAGCCTGCAATCGTGGCCGATGTACATATGTATAGGAAAGATGCAATATGAGCCTACCTATCTCATGTGCTTTCAGACTCCTGCGAAATATACAAAAGTAGAGAACCTATAACGCTGTGGTTGCTGTGCACTACCAATTAGAATTTCAAGCAAAGTTGACATATAAGTGATTCAATGGATCCCCTTTCGGATATCGAACTTGAGCCTGAACTATCATGTAAAAACTGATCGTGCCTTGATCTACTAGCTCCAACTATCAATAAAACTACTTCAATTACAGAAAATGTGATATGAGATTCAGCGCAGGCCGTATTTGATGATTTCAAAAATATCGAAGACGAAGTCACCTCTCTTACATACCTATCTAAGAGGCCTAGTCTACTAGACTTTAATTGGAAGCTACTTTGCGGGTACCATTGTTGCTGTGGCTGAGGGAGCAACTAAGGAGCTTAGATCAGGCGACATGATATGTGGTGGTTCGCGTTGCCTGGCTACCCGTAGTTTTTTATGTTGATAGCAGGAAGCTTTCTTTCATTCAAAGGTTCAGGACTGAGAGTATAAAGTTTCATTTGATAGAGTATTTATTCCCAATCAGATTAGTTTCAATCAAACAGATCACTACCCCTCATCATACATGTGATACCAACTGTGAGTACGGCGCAGCATCCCAGATATCTCGAGGTTCTAGTGATTAAAATGTAATGATAGCTAGTTATCGACGTTGCTCTTACTCGCAATATACTTCAACACAGAAAAAATAACAACACAAATAAACCCACTGGACCGGATTATAATGTATAGTCTGTTAACCTTCACAGAAGTCATCTGTCTCCCGATATGTCCAAAGATGATGAAGTATTCACTCAAAGCGTGAATCTGATAGAAATCTTTTAGTTTTGCATCTACGGATGTTTTTTATATTCCCCTATTTTCTTTTCTTTCACCCCCGTGGCCAAAATTTCCCTCGGTCCGACTATTGCAGCTTTCTCAAAATATATGGATATGCATATCACTAATGAAATACAATTTAACCTAAAGAACTCCCCGTCAACTATCCCTCCTTGTGAAAAGAAATTAAGCTTACAGTAAACAACAGGCTTTCAGGAAGATAGCCCTAAGCCATCGAGGATATACTACTTAAATATAGAGAGATATCGTACGCATTGCTCCCAATGAGCTTGTATTCTTGACTCCTTAAGTTTTCTCTGGTAAGAATATTCAAGAACTCTGTGGAGATACATATATTAGTGAGAAAATTAGATATATATCGACCCCAGGAGAAGAGGCTCGAAGTATTCGTAAAAAGGGACTTTCAGAGCAGGGGTGAGGATGTGGGAGGTGTTATATTTGAAGCAGACGCCCTGAAATATCGTGAGGCTGTAAGGAAAGTTTCACTGGCATGCAGTAAGAGGTCTCTTTGGGCTATGGAGCCCGTGGTTCATGAACATATGGAATATTTTGTTGAGAGGATGAAGGAATTTAGGAGTCGTGATGGAGGTGTAGGGATTTTGCAATGGACTAATTGGCTAGCCATAGACTTGTCAACAGATTTGTCGTGGAACAAAAAGACGAGTCAAGTGAAAACCCGTGCGTCTCTCCCGAGTCCCTAGATTTCCCTCGCATGCATACGCCAGTATTCTCATTTAACTTCAGAAACTGACACCAATGTCCCACTCCCACACACAGTAAAAGACTCAGTACATCTAGAAGCAATCCTCGCTTTCAACCCATTCGCCACCGTCATCTAGGTCTTCAAGCGTTTTCCCCTCCTTCACACCCTCTAATATCTCTTTATACCCCTGACCAAGCTTCCACCTCCATGACCATGGTAAAAACAACCCGCAAATCCGTAATGCGACGAATCTCACGCACAGGAAACACCAAACACCCTGGTTACTGTGATCACATCCTACCCGCCGACAGTGCAGTTCCCGCAACTCAATCTGAGCTCACATACACAGGTTCACTCACACAACAGATACAAGAGCTCATTCAAAATTTCCAGTGAAATATCACCATACTTTTCAAATCTTCCCTCTGATTTCCCTCGTTAAAATTCTACAGCATTTAGGCTCTTCAAGTAAGATGAATAATGCGCTGTAGAACTAATCTGACAGAGTTCCAGAGCTTGCAAATATTATTTATGTGCTGTTTTGGAGGAATTACTCCGACGGCTTCCACAGAATAATACGGGGTTGCCTTGTTAAGTCCTGGCGCTATGGTTGATGGATATTATGTACTGAAAGGAATATTCAATTTCATTTCATGTTCTTCCCCTTCTCCCAGTTTTACCTCCAGAAATCAACACAAACCCCATTCATCTCCATCCCCATCCCCAAAAATTAATCCTCACACTCCCCCCTAGACACACATCCAAACTAGAATTTCACCCTCTCCCACAACCCCCACTATTTTCACAACTCCAAAAAATTCCATCCCCAGCACTGGCTTCCATCCTCTCATCCTCTACACGAATCACTATATACTAAAGATACACTAAGCTCACTTCATTTCTTCAGTTTAGGGCCTCGAGCATATTTGGGAAGAGAAATGGCCTGGATGCATGCAGGAAAAATTGTTTGTGGCTAGTTATAAGGTAGTAAGGATGTTTGATTTGGGAAGGGTAGGCGAGGGGGGGGGGAGTATGGGAAAGATGGGACGGATTGGGAAGAGAGATTTGATGGGTTTAGAGATGTTGGAGGAAATGTTGTTGCATTATGGGCTTTTGGTTAAGTCTGAGGTTAGAGCGAGACTAGGACTCCCCTCCCCATAACTTTAAGAAACTTCGCCAGCGGGAAATGACGATACGATACGATATTCAGCTCCGTGGTTACTCTAACATATCATATCTCTGATACAGAATTCTAAACTGTAGCTCATATGAGCAAGTGCATGTACATTTCTTTATACCATTTATCGATACTAAATTTTTCCTTGCTAGTTGTGATTTTGCCATGCACTGGAACTGGCAGCCCAAATGCTTCGAAAGTATGGTACACTTAATTGGAATCATGGGCGATTTGGTTTTGGGATAGATGGTGGGACACTTGTCCCGTTCCAATGCAGTGGAGACTTCTTCCTCGTCAAAAATTCCAATATCTGCTCGGCATACCACTGTCCTTCGCAATTGCGATGTCGGCTCATCTTGAAAGTAGATTTCTTCCCTCCAGTGTTTCTGTCCTCATCTCATAATCTTTCAACACATCGTTAGAGGGAGGACGTCACCTCTATCCTGGCTGCTTTATGTTATATGTTGAATGGAGAGGGTGCTATATGTTGATAGAGGTCCAAAAATCCTATTTGATTCACCATTGTTACCAAAATAGTGACATGCAGGTTCTTGCTGCACCTGCAGAACAAATTTCCGCTTCTCGCCGCCATCGATACCATCGTACAAGAGTTTGTTTCTTTGCTAAAATTTTTGTGAGATAATCCCAGCCATAAAACAACTCCTTCAGAGCTAGCTGATCAAGACAAATCGAGTTTTTTTATAACGAAAAATTGCGATTTATTGGGAATCATTATACATGGAAGCAAAAGCTGCCGCCGCAAATTTTCAGAAAACTCCCTCCATATATGTCATCAACGCCTCTTTAAACCCCATTTTTACATGATTGTATCAACCAGCACTCAAAAGATCAGAAGAATCTCCACCAGATGAAGATGATCATGAAAAGTCCAAGGCCACCAATCGGTCCATATTGTTTCAACATCAGCTCCCAATTGATTCTTACCGCTGCTTTGCGATATTTCTTACTATCTTCTCTCAGTCTGCTGCTAACCTCACCCATACGCTCTAGGTTGTCTCCTCTATAAAGCAAGTCCTCGATGTTCTTGGTCATGACTTTAGTAACATCTCGAAGTTCATCATTGAGCTTGTCAAGGTTTTGAGTTGCTCGTGTATCGGAATATGTGGATTTCGTCCGCGAAATGAAAGTATCGAAATCCATAAAGGCATATGGTCGTAAAGTCGGCGAGTGTACTTGGGTGGCTGGATATGTGGTGTTGAATTCAGTGCAAAGATCTGAGAGATAGGTGAATGCAAGCTTCCGTGGATATGAGCGTTCGCAGATGCAGAGGAAAACGATGTCGTTGGCAATCATGTAACTATGATACGTTAGAATGGTATGGATGATATGTCCAAGCTTGAAATCCAGTCGCTGGTCATTGAAGAAAGATCAGGAGATACATCGGCGCAAAAACTTGGTAATTCGCTGTTTGTGTATCACTTTCAGATCTCAGTAGAAGTCCAAACCTGCACTTGCATATTGTCCCTTGCCATTACACTTTATGAGATCTGGTGTGCAAGGCCTGATGGTTCTAGCCCATGCTGAACCCACAGCAAGAGCTATAGAGCCAACCAAAAATGCGATTCATCCAACCCAACTTAAGGATATTGTGTTTCTCGAACGTACTGCATAGTATATGGACCACTATCGAGAGTGGCTTGTTCGGCGGAATTTCGATTCATTTTTCGGAGAACCATCTTGACTTGCGACTTGATCTCTGCCAGAGAAGATTCAGTCTGGGAGGCACATGAGTCAGTTTCGCAACAATCAACATAGGAACAACTTGCGCACCTGCTCATCATCAACTGAGGCGCATAACATAAGGCCTACATGGTGAGATTAGCTGTAGTCCAGAGGATGAATAGACAAGCATACCATCCAGCCTGGCAATTTGTGTAGATCTAATCATCTTAACTGTTTGTATCTGAAGTTGTATCTGAAGCTCTCGTGGTATGTTTATCGAACTTGTAGCGTGTTATTTTATGATATTAATTCATGTATCGCAGATCTTGTGGAGGTATTGATTCAGTGCCTCGAACACCAGAGTGAAATAATTCTTGAGAAAAGTAAAATTGACAAATTTGTGGAAGTGTCCAAAAGAAATAGATTACTTCAAATTACTACCTCCTAGTAATAAGTCTTATGTCACTTCAAATGAATTCGAAAGCTGTTCCAAAGTAAATGCATCTTCATGATCCTGGTCGGGACTAAGTTTATCCGAACACCGACATGATAATCCTACTCCTTATGGTACAAGACTACCAATGACGCACTATTTGAGAATAAGACTCTAATAATAGGTAGTTCACATTATTCATGTTCTCAAAAGAGCATTTTGGTGAGTTTGTGTTTGCTTTCCTCAACTCTCACTTCACATAAAAACTATATTCTTCTTGGGAATCCACTTTCTTTCTAGGAAAGAAACCCCTTTGTTTACGACTTTGTGACTCTGGTTCCTGGAGAGAGAATCTTTATTATATCATCTGCTGGATCATTACTTTTTCTTCCTCTTTCTCATATTTCTCTCCATCTCACCCGTCTTTCACCTCCTTCCCGTGACCGTTTTTTACCCTGTCTCTAATGACTGTGAATAGTGCACCTACTGCTCCAGTGACGGCAGCTCCACTGAGCTCGCCTGTTCTGGGGACCGCGGATTCTCTAATCAATCCCCGGACGGCGGCAGTAGAGACACCAATCCCGGTGTCAAAAGCCTCGTCAGCCACTCACAACGAGGCTATTGGGATCCTTGGCCCGACCGATCCATACCAGATGGCAGCACGGCAAGTAAGTAATATTTGATTCATCCTATCACGTGCCAAAGATCTGGACCTTTAGCTAATGTCTAATTGAGGGGATGAACTTGGCTCCTACCAGGGAGAGGGAACAATTGCCTGTTGAGAGGCCACTTAGCCCTCACTTCATGATTTCCTCCTGTTCGAATAGAGCAGACGTCCCAACGCCATTCAATACCCCTCGCACAGATACTAGACAAGATTCTCATATCCTAAAAGCTTCTTCCAATAAAGGAGAAGAGAAGCTAGCCCTCAAGGAGGTAACACCTCATCTCCATGGTGATAGATTAGCCGATAAGGCTCACCTCCGTGGAGGAGGGCCAAAGAGACGTCGTGGTGGTGCAGCTGGCCGTTCTCGCAAGAAGTCAAAATCTGACCAATATGCGGATGTTGACCAATTACTATCTGACTCCAAGTCACCTATCTTCAAAGGAAATGCAAACATTAAGGTAGATATTTCAATTACTAGTGTCAAATTTTGGCTAACATTCGCCAGGCTGTTCTTACCCATCCAGTGGCAAAGAAAACTATGGTCGACCAAGGTGAACCATATCCTTTCGACCAGATGACTGCAAATGAAGTTTCAACTACAGTGGCAGATTTTAAATCAGATGGAACTTGCGGGAGATTCGATTCAGACTGGATGGTACAAGCTATAGAAGCATCAAGAATTCGCGCATCCGGTGGTTACGATGCATATTTAAACAGTCAATTCGCAGAGAACTGGGGTGAAGACGACGAGGAAGTCTCGGATGAGGAGATGGAAGATGTCAACGACGAAGCAAAGCGTGAGAAAGTAAAGGAGAAAGATTAAATTGATGTTCAGCATCTTCCCATGCGATGTGGAACCTTTTCCGTACTTCGAATTTCGCCTGGTCATCATTCAGTCTCGCGAATCATCTACCAATGTTTATCGTAAATGAGAATTGTCGCATCCATAAGCGTCTACATTTCCGCATTTTTTCCGCCTAATCTCTCATACCTTTTATACAGCCAGTACTCCCATATCATAATCTTCTTAATGAGCATCCTGGGTCTGAGCTTCTCCACCACCACGACTTTCTCACACTCAAATATACAACTGTCTCTCAAAACTCAGGCCCTCATATTTCGATCTCAATTTTCATATTTTCATTATATCATCATTGTTATATCAGTTTAGATACCCATTGGCGTTGCTTTTTTTTTTTTTTAAAAAAAAAAAAGATACATTTGATGAGGATTTCACAGAACTCGATTCTGACGCTATATTTGGCTGGATTCTAAAATCTTTATCTGAAATTTAATGCTATGGAGTTCGGAATTTATAAAAAAAAATATCACAACTCATCACGGGAAGGAGTATGCATCAACTACGGAAAGCTCAATGTCATTTGTGACTAAGTGTCTGAGAGGGATATGGATAATCAAGATCATAAAAATTAGCAAAGCACCTATAATTACCATACTGACTAATGACTTTTATCTCGAATGGTTAAACTCCCCGCAATCTATTGATCTACTCCTAGAAATAGAATTTAAGATGTAATTACGCTAAATCTCTAAATATAATAAATCTTTATTTATTCACCAAATACTGTAATTACAGATACTCCACTATAAGTATGTACACCACTCAACCACCATATCTCGTCCTAGCCCAAATTTGATCACGGGACAAGTATGAATCTTTGCCTTGATGTTTAATCAATATCATGCCATACAATCCCGAGCCCTAGCCCTAAACTGCGCAACAGGGCTCCGTGGAGCGGATTATTGCTCTGATGAATAAGCTGCGAGTAGTTCATTTGCAGGATAGATTATTGAAAAATACGAATGAGTTATTTGTGGAGCGGATTATCCACGGATTGCGGATTATTTCTGTACAGCCTATGCATAGCATAGTAAGTGCCTACACTCAAAAACCTCTGATACCATAACTTTGAAAATCAATCGTCACTGTGATTCGCAAGGAAAAGGCTTAAACTTTGAGATAATATTTAGCCAGAAAAAAGTCAAAATAGGCATGGCCGTTCAGGAAAAGGTCTTCGAGGAACGTGGGAGGGAGAAGGTACTTCAAAACTTGGAGTCTGGCTCTGGAAAAGTCCGGTCGAGGATATTAGGCTATGTTGAAATCTATAGTGATGTTAGTTTGGTTTTTTATGTAATATTTTGAGTGAAGATATGTTACTTACAGATATCGCTGGGATTGCGAGAATTTCCTCCTTTTGTAAACCATAAGTTTTATTCGGAAAAGTTTCGAGCCATTCTTTTTTTTGCCAAGCCATGCAAACTAGTTCTAATCTAGACATAAATTCCGATCATCTTTCTCGAAAATTAATTAACTGCTGGTAGTTGGTGATTGTACGGTTGTCTTGACAAATGGGGTGTCGGAAATTCGTGTTGGATGGCCTTCGATATCGTAGAGCTTTTGCCAGAGCATTCTTCGAGTTCTTAGGAAATTGCTTGCTGAATATCACTACCTCGAGGGGGCGTATTTCGCGATGATGAGGGTTTGATGAAGCGTGTGAAAGTGACTGCCATTATAAGGACAATGACGAGGGTATCGGATGGGAAATTGAAATGTCGTGTCGGATTCGATGAGAGGTGAAAAATTTGGTTTCAGGTATTTATAGTTCGATCGAATGATAGATGATATTTGTGTATATTTGGTCTATGATTGAGAAATATGGATTAAGTTGGAGCAAGATCAATCCTTTTATATGGTAACAAGTTTGGATGTGGAACCTAACGATTAGCCTTACCCTTGGTCGACTTATGGTGAGATTACAAGTCAAATCCAGTGATCCTTTTCATTCTCGATCCTTCCTACCAGATTTGCTAATTTCTGAGCCGGCGCTGATCAATGAGATTTTCGCTGGCAATCGATATCCAGAATAATCCACAAGGCATCTTCGCGTGCTGGCGAACCGTTGAGTCGGAACAAAAAGACCACTTGGTTTCCGACAGAACTTGACGCCTTCCATGACAAATAATCTTTAAAGATAGGAATATTACTTGAGACAGGTGATGGAGAATTTAGGAAGATGAATAAATGGAGAAGGAATTATACTGTATATGCTTATGGCTTTATTTCTCAGGGCTTCAAACCTTCTGCCGTGAGAATGGTAAACTGTTGAAGTCTTCAGCCTCACGTGGTACGTTTCACATCTTGTGTCGTATGCCATAGTCCATTGAACTTGTCACAGCTTGAGCGTTTATTATTGATTCTCCAACATGACTGCTTGACCTGAATTCGGATATTCGATGCCACCAGCAGGGCGTTGAATAGTTCGAGGTAGTCTAACCATGACAACTTTTGGCCTCCTGAACGCAAAAGATTGAATTTACTTGAAACAATGGGTCCATTCAACGGGTCAATCATTCTTGCAATTCGATATTCAAAGGCTTTCAAGCATCAAGAGCTCGAATCCGCATACCCTGGCCTTGAGTTTAGAGAAACTGCATACTGCACTAGCAGCTGGAATCCGTGCATGAGGATGAAATATTCCCTGTGACTGTCCCCGATAACCTTATATCGTTGAATGGAAGTTAAATATCCTTTTTGCGTTTCGATTGCAGAGCTCAAATGTCAATTGGCTCGTCGTCGTTCTAAAGCAAGGTGGATTTCTAGAATATCACGTGCAATGGCCCGGGCGATTGGGACTTTTACCACAAAAGCGTGAATAAGGAATTATCCGCTCAACAATCCTACTATCCCCTCCTCAGATTATCTCTGCATAGTCTTCAATATCATTTAGTACACTACCGTGACTACCTGTGATGCAACTATGTAGTACGCACACTGCGCCACACTGCGCCACAATTCGGGTATCTAAGACGAGCTTTTCAACTAATCAAAGATTTTTCATATTTTTATATTGCTTACCTCCAGTGCCCTCCCAATTCTCATATCGATACTTATTTGATCTAGGTCAGGCAAGTACAGAGTATCTTGAACGAATGACATACACATCTCGGCTATTGGCACTTGGTATGGGAGAGATACCTCGGAAGCTGGCTTTCCCCACGTTTGAACAGGGGTTTGGGAGATCATCGGAAAGTAAGCAACTCCGTATTGTCCAACCTCCTTTCCTTCATTTTCAAACCGACTTTCTGCTGAGGGTCATATACATTCCTTCAAAATACTGTGAACTTCGTCGATAGTGAAATTTATACCTCTTCTGTGTATCCTAGGACACCAAAACGATTTATTGATTGAGATCACCAGCGTAGCCAATCAACGAGTTACCTAGCAGTAATCATCATGTCTAAGAACAACTATAAAGATATCATCGTCACGATCAAAAACCGGATTGGTATCATCAAGGTTATATAGCTATACAAATATGGCATCAAATGTCGCTAATATACAATTAGTTCAATCGTCCCCAAGCTCTAAACTCCTTTGGAGGAACTCTACTTCCAGAAACAATTGCTGCTCTCCGGGAACTAAATGAGCATCCCGACACTGTCTTTACCGTCTTGACCGGTGAAGGAAGATTCTTTTGTGCGGGTGCGGACGTGAGACGTGCGTATTTCACTCCAACTCTTAGACTACGAACGTACTGACATGTGATACCTAGAGAATGGTGGACCAGTTTCTGAGGCAAAATATGCTAGCGCTGCGGAAAAGAAAATTGCATATCTCTCCAGATTTACCCTTGGTAAGCACTTCCTCCGCTTCAAGGTCGACCGTAAAAGCCTAACAGTCTAGCTCTCGAACTTATGCGTTCGATAATTGATCACACCAAAGTGTTCATTCTCGCCATGAATGGTCCGGCGGTTGGAGCTGGCGCAGCATGGTTCCCTGGAGTAGCTGATATAGTCATCGCCTCTACGTCAACTTACCTCGAAATTCCATTTTCAGCGCTAGGTTTGGTTCCGGAATGTGGCTCAGCTATCTCACTAACCCAATCCATGGGTGTTCACCGTGCTAATGAGTTCCTCATGTTTGGAAGGAAACTTAACGCTGATGAGATATTATCATTTGGCATTGCTAATCGGATTTTTGAAAAGGAAGGGTTCGGAGAGAAGGTCACTGAATATCTAGAAGGTTTGTTAGATATTAATGATGGTAAAAGTATGATGGAGGCAAAGAGGCTGCAAAATTTGCCATTAAGAGATTCAAGAATATTAGCAGTGTATAACTCGATCGATGCACTGGCTGAAAGATTTGTTGATGGAGCACCCAATGCAAGATTTCAGGCTAAGAGGAAGGAAATGGAAGGTGAGCTATCGAGTTTACTTTTGTATTGATGCTGGCTGGCATTGGGCTAATATGAATTTGCAGCAAAATCTAAGAATAGAACTTCGAAAATCTAGGATGGGGGCTGAGCGAATCAAAGAATACATTAGACTTTGGTCATTTTTCAATAATTATCATCTGACAAATGACAATATACATATTCTTCCTCCAAGACAGCACAGGAAGGAAATTGTTCTTAACTTATTGCAAACCGCAATCTTGCAATATCTCGTTATCACCACTCTTTGAGCCTAAGGATATCTATACCGGTTTCAATATTGGCTGGATAATTCAAAGATTGAAGATTCTTAAAAAGTTCGATTCCTGAAGTATGGAAAGTCCAAAAATTCTTCTTTGAAAGGATGATAAGTGAATTTTTCCATTCGTTTTTCTTCGGAATTGTCTTGTTCGATTGGTGAAAAGGAAAAGGTGCAATCGTCTAGCCTGGAGGGGATGATGGTTCAGTTCGTGTGCCCACACCCACATTAGCAAAGTTGCTAGGACTAAGTTTCTGGGATATTCCTACAGTCGAGGACATCGCCATGGGATAAGATGGGCGATCATAGAAGCATTGCTATCCGAATGTCCCGTTTATCCTGATGAAATTTCACATTAAT